AGAGAATCGGAAGTAGACAGAAAAATTACTGCTCTGTGATTATGAAGGGAAGGCAGACTCTCATGTTTCTCCTGGCTCTTGCTCTTAAGTGGAGCCAAACACCTTTATATGGCATGGCAAACCATATGTAGATCAACGGCCTTTTTGTGCCGTTTTTAAGTAGTTTTGCGGCAGTTACTTCTTTGTGGTTTTGTGTTCCATGCCCGCTTTTCTTTTGTGTTGTTCTCTTTTCTTTTTTCTTGTTAACTGACCTCACACTGGCTGCGTACCATACTGGGGTCACAACCCTAGAAAGAGATGTAACTAGAAGGGCGTGCTGTTGGCACAGCCTTAAGTAGAGGCGTCCACAGGTGTGTCAGGGTTGGCCTAATCAGCCCGAGGGCTTCTGGGATTTGGAGTTCCCTGAACTTATGGCACCTTGCAGGCTGGGCACCTTGCCGCCGTTGCACACTTTGCTGGTGGCCTTCGGCAGGTGGCCCTTACATTAAACTTATAACAGCTAGTGCAATGTGGCTGCTGGCAGTTTTACATTACGTTAATATGTACAAGCAAATATGTACCAGTAATTCACTTTACTACATATTTTGAGTACCATATGTTAAATGTACTACCAAGTGCTACCAAAAAGTTGTTAGCTTAAATTCAGGATGGCTGGAGTAGTTCACAGACTCTTAACATGTTCAATGATACATTTGTTTTCATTTCAGTTGATTTTGCAGTGCTAACTTTGACACTTCTAAACATTAGGCTGTAAATGCTGTTGGTGCACATTCATATACTGTCCCCTGAACACTTCCTGACAACATAACACTATAGATAAACACTACATGCACTGTAACTATAAAGTAATTTTATTGTTTTTCAAAAATATATATGCCCATTTTGAATTTCATATAAGTAACACATTCCAATAAAGTTGGGACGGGGGCAGTTTTACTACTGTGTTTCAACTCTTCGTTTAACAATGTGAAAATGAAATGTTTTCCCATTCTTGCCTAATACAGGTTTCAGCTGCTGCACTGTTCGGGGTCTCCTTGTCATATTTTCATTTCATAGTGGGCACATGTTTTTCAATGGGTGACAGGTCTGGACTGCAGGCAGGTCAGTTTAGCACCCAGACTATTTTAACACAGAACCGTACTGCTGTAATACATGCAGAATGTGGTTTTACATTGTCTTGCTGAAATAATCAAGGCCTTCCCTGAAAAAGACGTCGTCTGGATGGCAGCATATGTTGCCGAAACATGTATATATCATTCAGCATTAATGGTGCCTTCACAGATGTGCACGTCACCCATGCCATGTGCACTAACACTGATTTCAAATTTAATTCATTGGACCATGGGACACTTTTCCACTTTACTTCAGTTAATCTTAAACAAGCTCAGGCCCAGAGAAGGCAGCAGCATTTCTGGATCCTGTTTTTATTTGGTTTCTTCTTTGTGTTTTAGACTTGCATTTGTGGATGCAGTGATGAATTGTGTTCACAGACAGTGGTTTTAGAAGTGTTTCTGAGCCCATGCAGTGATTTCTTCTACATAATCATGTCTGTTTTTAATGCAGTGCTGCCTGAGGGCCCAGAGATCACGACCAGCAAATACTGTTTTTTGGCCTTGTCCCTTACACACAGAGATTTCTCCATATTCTCTGAATCTTTTAATGATATTATGTACTGTAGATGATGAAAAACAAAAGGTCTTCATACATTAAAAAACGTTGTTCTTGAATTGTTGCACTATTTGATCATGCAGTCTTTCACAGAGTGGTGAACCCCTCCTCATCTTTACTCCTGAGAGACTTAGACTCTCCGAGATGCTCTTTTAAACCCAATGTTACTGTTTACCAGTTAATCTAATTAGATGTGAGATGTTCCACCAGGTGTTTTTTTAGTTTTACACAACTTCACCAGTCTTCTGTTGCCCCCGTCCAAACTTTTTTGAAATGCGTTGCTGGCTTCAAATTCAATATGGGCATATATTTTTCCAAAAACAATAAAATGTCTTAGTTTCGACACTTGATATGTTGTCTTTGTAGTTTTAATTAAATATAGGGTTTACATGATTTGCACATCATTGCATGCTTTTATTCATAATTTTACACAGTGTCCAATATTTTTGGAAATAGGCTTGTACTTGTTGATTATACATATATTGTGTGTGTGTGTGTGTGTGTGTGTGTGTAAATGTACACCCTTACAACCATATTTTTTTTATATTGACATCAGTGATTTTATTATTAGTTTTGAGTTTAGAATTTTGTCCTTGTTCTGAATACTACTACTAGCCCACTAAACTGCAGAAACTAATATAATAACTGTTAGGTAATATAAAAACTATATTAGTTTAAAAGAGCTGATATTTAGAAATGCATAATGCTCAATTACACCACTGGACCGTCCTCATAATAATCTGGACCATTTCATGTTTTTCTGTTATTTTTCCACTAGATGGAGCTGAATGGCTGTATGTAGGCAGTGGAGTTTGTGCTGTTCACTGAGGTCCTGCATATGTTTACCTTTGTGAAATAATGGCGAGGGAATCATAACCTCTGAAATAAGTCTCCCAGAGGAGCGCTGTGAGATCAAAAGGTAATCATATACAACACCGAGGCCCTTATTCTGACTTATCTCCTCTTACTGACCCATTTTCATTCTGTGGATCTGTGGTTGGTATAACATATTACTCCAGTAGTCAGACACCATAAGGCTTAATTTTAGCATGGTCATCTTATTATCTGCAAGCATTGCATTGCATTGTGCCAGCTAGCATAATAACACACTAAAAACCTGTCAGGTTCAACAAGACTTCAAATAACGAACCTTTTATTATGGAAAAACCATATTACTGCCTGATGGAAAGAATTGAAGAGCTGCATGCAGTAAATGTGATGTTCAAAGGGAAGAGGCGAAACAGCTTAAAATGCCTGGATAATAATGCTACGTTTACACAGCAGGTAAAAGTGGCCCAAATCCAATCTTTTTCCTCATATGTGACACAGATGTGTCTGTGATCTGTGTGTCTGTGTAAGCAGCAAAAAACGCTTTGAGATGCTTCGTCATATTTTCGCGCTTCTGAGACTCATTAACATTTAGGCTGATGTTTCCGTACCAAAAAATAGAAGAAACTCATCGCAGCCGCTCTGTGTTCAAATAGGTTTCGAACTAAACGGGCGAACGCGGCTGGAGGAGACCGAGGATGCAGCGTTTAAAAGAATCTGAGGTCACGATCCAAAGAAGTGTCCGTGACCGAATAACGCGCCCTTTTTACCGCGAACTCGAGCACACTGTGGGTGATGAGTCCAGCTGTCAACCACTGGAACTTCATAATCGCTCCTGTGATGCTGGCGAAGACGAAACTGAAGCTCTGGGAGCGACAGGCGTTCACTGACCGTCATGATTGTTTACCTCTGGACGAGCCGCGTGAAGCTCTGTTGTTTTGCGCATGCGGGTCAGTTTAGGAGCTGATCTGTTCAGACTGATGTCGCATACAGATCACATTTAAAAGATAAGGTGAACAGCCAAACAAAAAAATCGGATTTGGTGAGAATGTCAGATTCGGGCCACTTTTACCTGCTGTGTAAAACTAAGTTTTAGTAATTTTTAAAGAATGTGATCTGTACCTTACTAAACTTCAGCCAGGTTAGTTAGTGCACTGGCCAGTATACTTGATATTTAAACAAAAGTGCCGTTTCAAGTTGCCTCTTGACTTCACACTTTACTGTTTATGCATACCAGGATAATCTTACTACATTTTTAATGTATGATGTGATTTGGAAATAGAAGAAACTGGCATGAAACGACATAACTGATTTGAAATATTTAAAATTCTATCAGGTTTAGAAAGTATGTGAATCATTACAATGTGAATCAGTGTATTTTATTAATTAAAATACTAACGAAGCTTCCTTTCTGATATTAGTGGAACTAAAAATAGGTCAAACTCCCCTGTGTCCAGCTGTGTGTCCTTGAAGAGTGACCAGTCAATGATAGATCCTCTGAACTTTAAAGGAGCATCAGTCTCTCTGGAAAGGTATTCCTTTATCTTTTTCTTACTCATTCTAACAACATGCATATTAGATTCTACATGCAGTAGAGAGTCTGTTACTGTACAAATACAATTCAACTGAAACTTAGTCTTTAAAAACAGCTGTTGACCAAGTTCATAATTAAAACAGCAAAACAAACACAAATATGTAACGAAGTCATTATTCTTTCCATTCTGTATGATTTTTATTTTAGCTTTAGTTGTTTTCTTTTTTTTTTATAATGAATTTGAGCTCTTGCTTTGAAGTCCAGTGTAATGGTTTCAAAAGATGTCTTAAGCATGCAAAATGCATCACTGCATTTTTATTAAATAGAATTTGCTAAAACATTTTCTTTCTGATTGTCAGTGGTACGGCAGAAAGATCAGACTCTCCTGTGTCCGGCTGTGCGTCTTTGAAGAGTGACCAGTCAATGATAGATCCTCTCAATTTCAAAGGAGGATCAGTTTCTCAGGAAAGGTGTTCTTTTATTTTCCTCTTGGTCATTCTGATCAGTAAATATATATCCTTTTTGATGTCTACAACAACAAACTAGAAAACTGTCAAGCAATAAAAAAATGCATAATATTGTTTCATAAACGATGCAGTTGGTCTGTAATGTCACAGTAATGTAAGTAAAGATGGTGAGCAGTAGCACTGCGGAAAACAAGGAATGAGTTTATCGAAGAAGATGAATATTGAAGATGAGGAGCAGCACTGTTGAGGAAGATAAAGAACAGGAGTGCTGTGTAAGAAGAGAAGCCGGAGTGCTGAGGAAGATGAGGCTGCGCTGCTGAGGAAGATTAAATCTATAAAGCAACTTAAAATTGGACCAATACGAGCAATAAATTAAATATGGAAATAACTGAATGGGTTCAAAGAAGTTGCATTGAAAATCAGCATGTTTTATGAAATAAATTTGCTAACACAGTTTTTTTTCTGATTTTAGTGGAACTAAAGAAAGATCAGACTTTCCTGTGTCCAGCTGTGTGTCTTTGAAGAGTGACCAGTCAATGATAGACCCTCTCAACTTCAAAGGAGCATCAGTCCTTCAGGAAAGGTATTCCTTTATCTGCTTCTTGTTCATTTTAATCAGTAAATACCTAAATATCTAACAAACTGGAAATAAAAACTGTTAAGCAAAAATAAGAAAAAAATTGCATAATATTGTTTTATAAATGAAGCAGTTAGTCTGTAGTACAAAGAAAAAAGCATTATAATATTGATTCGTACATGACGTAGTTAGTCTATAATGCCAAGAACAAAAGCATAGTAATATTGCTTCATAAATGATGCAGATTAATCTTTGATGTCAAATGTTTTTTTCTCTTTATATGTGTTTTTTAAATGTTTTAATTTCTTGTATATTTTGACTGCAGTGATGATACGGGGTCAGAGTCTGCTGTGACAACGGACAAGCTTCAAAAGAAGAGTAAAGAACATCTGAAGAACATCTTTAATGTAAGACTCAAAGTATATTTAGTAATTTCCTATGAATGGTTTTCATAAGTCATCCATCTTCATGAGCACTGCATGAAATCTAACCTAAGCACTTGTGAATGTTTGTTCTTGTTGGCTTCAAGTAACAGCTGAAAAAAGTTTCGTTTTCATTTTAACAGCTAGTGCATTGCTATATATTTGTTATTAAGTTTACAAGTACACAAACTTATAAATAAAAATAAAAGAATGAGATCGAAGCAAATGTTGTGGATCAAGAAAAAGGAAAGTAGCAAATAAAATAATAGGAGGAGAGAGTTGATTTTCACGGTCTGTGTACCTTAGTAAAACACACAAATATTTATTTCCAAGTTAAAGGTGGAAGAAACTAAGACTCTAAAGTCTAGGAATTTGCCCACCAACAACTTTTGATATTCAATTATCTGTAAAGGTTGATGAGTGGATAATTGGATGACCACACAGGGAAGGAAAAACATACATCTGGATTAGGGATTCAGGCTTACCTTTTTCAGAGCACTGGTGTTGCACACCACATTGCTTCACATAAATACACATGCACTTGGATGGTATTTGATGAACAATAAAAATGTAGTCAGTACTATTTAAATACATAATGTAACCCTTAAACATTAATAAAATATTAATTTGATAAGTTAAAAGCTAGAAGAAAACACATAAAAATGCATAAAAAGTACAAAATCCAAGAAATATTCTAGTCCCAGTCTTGCACAGTCCAAACCTTTTGCCATTTCAGTAACAGTAGTCATAAACTGAAGCATCCATGTAGCTCAGCTTGGTCCTTCAGTTTATGACTGCTGTCGCATTGCTTCATCCAAGTGGCTTAAAAGCGAGTATCTATTTGTTCAATTCATTTAGCATTTTTTAATTAAAATATCCAACAGAGGGTAAAGTCTAACAAAATGTGTTTGGTCAAACCTGATCTAAAGTATTTAATGTCCTGGATCTCAGTTGCATACTGCCTAGGCATTACCATCTCACATGTTTTTAGTTGAATATGCTCTCCTTCACCCAGCATCGGTAATTGTAGGCTGACAGGGACCCGAAGTAGATGGAACTACAAATTTATGTACTTGCAGAAATAGGTTCCATTCCCTAATTACCTCCTGGGTCAGTTTGCTCACTTGGCGACTTATGTTCTCCAGAATCTCCAGGTTCAATTCTGTTCTACAGTTAATCTCTAATGGATGATTAGATTCATTATGCTCTTTCACTGCAACACAAGATGTTTCAAACTTTGTATGCACATATTCTGTTTTCATCCTCCTTTAGCAGGGATTTAACTCATTGAACATTCTTGCTGGAGTTCAATAAGCTAAGTGTGTGAAATCCTACAAGATGGCCCACTTTAGCCCCCAGAGTAACTGTTACTTTAACTGGGCTTTGTCTAGCACAGCTCCCTCAATCGTGACAAGACTCACTTAGCATTGGCTAATTCCTTAACCTCTAATAATCTCTGTACTTATTCTTTCCAGTTAATGTCTTTAAACATACAGTAGGCAGCCATGGTGCACTAGGAAATATTGGTATCATCATGATTCAAATTTTAATTTTTCTTTGAACACTGAACACTGTTCCAACCCCCAACACTGCTTGCTCTGCCATAGTTCATAATAGGATATGGGCAGTGTGAGAGATATGGTCAGGATGGTTTATGTTTGAAAGAATAAAATGGATTTGATTATTTTCATCTAAAAGTGAAACAGTACCAAACAGCCAGACACAGGGGCTGGCTCAATCATTTCTCACAAAACTAAAAGAACCCACATGAAAAAAATATGAAAAGAATGTCACCCAAGAAATACACAGTCCCAGGTATACAGTTATATGGTGAGTGGCTTATTTTTCACAGGAAAAAAGGAAGTCATTGACTGTAAATATATAGAAGAAATGTCATAAAGAAAAAAAAAATATCTGAAGAGGACCCACTGTGTCTGACTCCACCAGAAAGCTGTCCCTGACTGGTTGAATCCCAGCTTGGTAAAAAGTGATCCTCTGTCTTGAGACAGCAAATCTAGTGTTACATGTTAGTGTTTTAAGCAAGTTGGCCAAACAGAAAATTGTGCTTTTAAAATAAAAATGCTTTTAAAACAATGTGAAATTATTTGAATGATGTGTATCATTTTGAGTATCTCTATATTTTGTCCTCAGGAGCTTGAGAAAAAAATCTTTAAGTTCATAAAGGATGAGCTGGAAATCTATAAAAAACATCTAACAAAAAAAGACATAAAATATTGTGGAGATGTGAAGGAAGACAAGTGGAATTTAAGACAAGGAGTTCTTAATATGACACAGTACTTCTTGAAGAAGATGGAACAGAAGGAACTCGCTGATGCACTGCAAAGTAAGAGCTGACAATATGTGGCATTACCTAAATTTATATGTAATTGTTGGAAAAAAATGTAAATGAAAGTGGTAGCTTTGATTTTTTTACTACACAATTGTTATTATTCACAAGCTACAGATACATTTATTTTACACATTCTTTATATCATCAGACAAAGTGGTTCATTCTCTAATTATCTCTGTTGTCTTTTTAACTATTTAATTAGATGAACTGATTGGAATTCAACAGTATGCACTCAAAGCTAAACTGCGCAAAAAGTGTCATCATGTACATGAAGGAATTGCAAAGCAAGGAGAGTCCACTGTTCTAAATAAGATCTACACTGAGTTGTACATCACTGAAGGTGGTGCTGGACAGGTCAACAAAGAACATGAAATGAGACTCATTGAAAAAAACAATGTAACAAGAGACACTAATCAAATGGAGCAAGAAGTGCAAATCAAATGCAAGGACATGTTTGAACCTTCAACTGAAGAAGACAAGCGCATCAGAACTGTTCTGACTCAGGGAGTTGCAGGTATTGGAAAATCAATCTGTGCGCAGAAGTTTATTTTGGACTGGGCTGAAGGTAAAGAATATCAGGACATCCAGTTCATCTTTCCACTTCCCTTCCGAGAACTGAACCTGAAGAAAGGAAGTCAGAGTTTGATGGACATCATCTATTTCTTCTTCCCTGAAACACAAGGATTGACATTATCGAATGAGCACAAAGTCATGTTCATCTTTGATGGACTGGATGAATGTCAACTTCCTTTGAGATTCCAGACAAATGAGACCCTGAACAACATCTCAGAAGAAGCCCCACTGGACTCTGTGATGACGAGCCTCATCAAGGGAAATCTGCTTCCCTCTGCTCTGATCTGGATAACCACTAGACCAGCAGCTGCTGCAAAGGTCCCTGCAGAGTTTATTCACCGAATGACAGAGTTACGTGGCTTCAATGACTCACAGAAGGAGCAGTACTTCAGAAAGAGAATCAGTGATCAGGACCTGGCAGAGAAAATAATTGATCATATTAAACAATCAAGAAGCTTGTTCATCATGTGCCACATCCCTGTCTTCTGTTGGATTTCTGCAAATGTACTTCAGGAAATTTTGCAAAAAAGAAAGAATAAAGAAACACCAAAGACACTGACAGAAATGTACACCTGCTTTCTGATCTTTCAGACCATACAGGGGAACCTGAAGTACACTGGAAATAATGATTCGGATGTACCCTGGGACAAAGAAGGCATTATGTCAATGGGAAAGTTGGCTTTTCATCACCTGGAAGAGAGCAATCTGATCTTCTATAGAGAGGATTTAGATACATGTGGCATTGACCCCAGTAAGATGTCAGTGTACTCAGGACTGTGTACTCAGGAGACAGTCAGATTTCTTGGCACAGTTTACAGCTTTGTACATCTCAGCATTCAAGAGTTCCTTGCTGCATTATTTGCATACATTTCTCACAGAAATGACAACAAGAATGTTTTAGACCATCAGTCCACACCACAGGAGAGCAAGAAAACACAAGTCATTGATTTTCTCAAGGCTGCAGTAGACCAGGCTTTGAAGAGTGACCATGGACACCTGGACCTTTTCCTTCGCTTTCTTCTGGGTCTCTCTCTGGAGTCTAATGAGCAGCTCATTCGAGGTCTGCTGACCCAGAAAGGAAGCAGGTCTGACTGCCAGAAGGACATAGTTGAGTACATAAAGTCAAAGTTTAAGGAAAATCCATCTCCAGAGAGATCAGTCAATCTCTTCTACTGTCTGAATGAGTTAAATGATGATTCTCTAGTGAAAGAGATCCAGAGTTACATGAGCTCAGGACGTCTCTCTGAAGCTGAACTCTCACCTGCACAGTGGTCAGCTCTGGTCTTTGTGCTGCTGACATCCAAAGAAAAGCTGGATGAGTTTGACTTAAATAAGTTCATCGGATCAGAGGAGTGTCTTATTAGACTGCTGCCGGTGGTCAAGGAAGCCACATCAGCTCTGTAAGTAGTTTCTCCACACAGCTTAATAAAACATTAAAACAAAACACATCTAGTAAAAAAATAAAAATCAAGGTGCCATCAAGTCACCTCCAGCTCTGGGCAACCAGATGCATAGTTTTCCTCCAGCAAATTTTGTCTTCTTTTTAGGATTTTAGACTTCTTAATGGCTGCTTTAGCTTTCCTCTGATTGTCTCTGTTCATCTCATTACTGGCCTTTTTTCATCTTTTCTTGTACCTCCAAATGATACAAGCATAATTGTCTTTTACAGTAAATTTGTTATTTGAATATTTCCATAACAAGAGCATTAGTTTGTTAATCTGGGTTTCAAATGAGAGGTAAGGCTTAATTTGGTCAGGGATCTATTTGTACTGAGGTACTGTCAAAAGTCTTTGCCAACATCAAAGTTCAAAAGTATCAGTATTTTTCCTGCAATAGTATCAATAGTTTTTCCTGTACTGATTTGGTATTGTCCAGCTTTCCCAACCATAAAGTATCACAGGAAAGACAATTTTAAGAGACACATCACTACATCTTTAAGAGACATATCATTATATCTGAAGATTTGTTCTGCCATATGCTAATATGTGTCATATTTGCTGACTGAATTGGCTAATTTGAATACTGGAGGTGCCAAAATACAGATCCACACAGAATGCTTTTACAACCAGACAGAGGAAAATTGAGAGAAAGAAGAAAATCTCTCTAAAGGAGCTGGAATTTCTGAAAGAGGAGGCAAATGTCAGCTCCTAAAAGATAAAAAGTTTGGGAAATCCCCAAAAAGAAAATAAATACAATTAAAACAACCAAAAGTCTGAGAATTAACAAAAAGCGTGACACCCAGCATGTCAACGATCATGAGAGAATCATGAGAGAGAACAAATATTGTTATTGTATGTAGCTTATATAGTCCTTTAACTCACATCCACTCACTTTCTTTAATAAAGTTCATCATTGAGTAAACATTATTTGTTGGAGGGTGATATAAGAAGAAATAAATATGTGAGCATCATTTCAATTCTGAGGGAGCCAGAGGTTTGTTGTAAAAATAAAAATAAATTAAAATAAAACTACAAAGTATTCAAATTAGCCAATTTTCCTGTCACCTCCTAAACAACAGGACGTAGTAAATTATGCGCAAACTACAACCAGCAGCACACACTTTACTTTAGCATGAGCAACAGGTTTTTTTTAGCTCCTTAGTAAAGCTGGCCTTTGGGTCTTATAACTATAATAACTATAATAACAAATTTATCAGTATTTAATGTGTACACTCTTTACTTTTGTGCACCTATTGATGCTTTAACTCTTCATCCATCCAATACTAAAACCAGAAAAATACAACATTGTCCTCCCAAAAAAACCTGTTCACAAAGAATTCATTCTTCAAACAGATTCCCACAAACACCTACCCAAACTCACCTTAGCTGCCTCACACATTTCTCCCTCATAAGCATGTAAAATGACTACAAGAGATATTTATGAGAAGATTAGATATAAGATAAACCACATGCATTGTGAAGAAGTGAGTCAAAGCAATATCAATTAAAAACCAGGAGTTTCCTTGAGATACAGAGAAAATGGAACTTCTAACAACCACCTTCAAGACCTGGTAGACAAAACAGCCCCATCAGACAAAACAGTACTTAAAGCTTTCATCTTTCAGAGAAAGGAGAAAGTAAATGTCCACTCTTGCTTCAGATATTAAAAATCCACAGGTGTTTCTGTCTATTCTGTGGTACGATGGGGCAGTAATCATTCAATTGGATCATAGTTGATGTCTTCTGCACTTTGAAGCATTCAGGGATGACAGTCTGACTCAGAGATGTTGAGGATGTCTGAGGATAACTGCCAATTGGCCTGTACATTCCCTGATTACACGTTCTGGTGTGTTTTCAGGTCAAGCAGTCTTGCATAGGTTGATTATAGACCCTGTCTAGGAAGGAGGTGCCACTAATACAAGCATGTGGTTGAGATTTGTAGGTGGTGATTGTGTGAATGCTTTTCCACGTGCACTGTATGTGCCTGGTATTTTGTAACATTACCAGATGCAAATTTCACTACCAGCTTTGTTATTATCAGTTTCATCTTTAGCATTTTGATTTATTCAGAGTTAGATCTGCTAGAAATGTTTAGAAGTTTGATTTTAACATCTTAGCAACTGGATTCTGAGCTGAACTCTTGAACTCTTGTTCTGTACATACTATGTGTTGGGGTATGACAATACATTGATTCTGATCAACTAATAGATTCTAAGGCTTTACTGTAATTGCGAGTCCAATGTAATTATGTTCTCACTGAGCAAAGCCAAAGCTACTGTGAAGGGTTGCTCAGTGCTGCCTGTTCCCAGCAGAGGGCAGCAGCAGAGGCGCTCATCTAGGGCACCCTACACCAGGGACTCCACCTCCCAGAATGCTGCAGGCTGACTGCCTTAACTCAGCTGAAGGAGTGCCTACATAAGCTCCAGAGTTACACACAGAAAACGCTCCACTTTGTACAGGGGTAGCCTGTAAACAGTACAAAACAAACAGAATAAGAAAAAAAAGATAAACCAAAAAAAAAGGAACAAAAAGAAAAGAGAAACTTTTTGCAAAGTAAAGATTAAAGGAGAGTTATGAGTGAAAAAATACAAACAGCTCTACAGCAAAGAGAAAAGGAGAAATGGAACTGTCAAAAGAAAAAAGAGTCTTTGTTCCTTCCAACCCTGTTTGTAGTCAGTGCACACCCTGCACTTGGGTCCTACACTGTACTAACACAGCTCCAAGTGATATAATATCAACTACAACTGATACTATGACTTGTATTTTGAGTTGTTCTATAAATGATCTTTCATAAAAACTCTCTATTCTACTTCTAGGCTGAGTAACTGTAACCTTACAGAGAAAAGTTGTTCAGCTCTGTGCAAAGTTCTCAGCTCAGAATCCTCTAACTTGATTAAACTGGACCTCAGTAGTAATAACCTACAGAACACAGGAGTGAAGCTGCTTTCTGCTGCACTAAAGAGTCCACACTGTAAACTGGAGGAACTGAGGTGAGTTCATCAAATTGTCTTGAAGGGGTGTCAACAGGTTTCCTTAATCTGTTTAAGCTTGTGTTTGAATTGGGTGGGACTATGTTGGAAGAAGCTGTGGTCACTGTAGTTTGATGTCTTTATCAAATCAAAGAGCATGGTTGTAAAAGTGAGTGGGCCCAATTATGTTTTGAGTGTGACACCAACAGAGGGTGAATGGTAGACATATGACACACAGATTTTACCTACGGAAGAAAATTGCTGTATTCTCTTGAGAATGAGAGACTTTTGTTCTTTCTTTAGACTTTCATACTGCAGTATAACAGAGGAAGGATATGCTGCTCTTGCTTCAGCTCTGAAATCAAACTCCTCATCAAACCTGATAGAGCTGGATCTCAGAGGGAATGATCCTGGAGATACAGGAGTGAAGCTGCTCACTGATCTGCTAGAGGATTCAAATTGTAAACTGAAAACACTGAGGTAGGTACAGTGCTGTGAAAAAGTATTTGCCCCTTCCCAATTACTTCTATTTTTTCATATTTGTCACACTTCAAAGTTTAACCCAAGTAAACACAAAATGCTGTTTTAAAGGAGCATTTAATTTACTGAAGGTAAAATGCTGTTCAGCTCTACCTGGCCCTATGTGAAAAAGCAGGTCAATGTACATAATAAGAAAGACAATGGGGCAAAAATAGCATCCATGGGAGAGCTGCATGACACAAACTACTGCTAACCAAAAAGAACACAAAGGCTCATCTTGCATTTGCCATCTTGATGACACTCAAGACTTTTGGGATAATTTTCTGTGGACTGATTAACCTTTTGGAAGATATTGGTCCCATTTCAACTGGCATAAAGCTAATACCAACAGTGAAACATGGCAGTGGTAGTGTGATGGGCTAGAGCTGCTTTGTTTCTCCAGGATCTGGACAACTTTTCATAATAGATGGAACCATGAATTTTGCTCTCAGAAAATTCTGAAAGTGAATGTCTGCCAGTCAGCTTGTTAGCTGAAGCTTAAGCACAGTTGGGTTATGCAGCAGGGCAATGATCCAAAGCACACAAGAAAGTCCACCCCTGAATGGCTCAAAAGAAACAAAATCAAGGTTTTGGAGTGGCGGAGTCAAAGTCCTGACTTGAATCCCTTTGAAAAGCTAGATCTTAAATGGACAGTTGATGCTTGAAAACCCTTGAATGTAGCCAAATTTAAAATTCTATAATGGGCCAAATACACATCAATGTAAGAGACTCGCCGTAAGTTTGATTGCTGTTGTTCCCGCCAAGGGTGTCACAACTGCTTATTAAGTTTAGAGGGGCAATTACTTTTTTACCTGGGTGATCATAGGTTTTGAATAAATCTTCAATAAATGGAATAATTATTTAAAAGTTGCATTTTGTCTTTACCCTTGTTGTCTTTATCTTATGTTAAAATTAGTTGGGTTGTCTAAATTGTTTAAATGTGACCATTTAGCAAAAATAGAAGAAATTAGGTGAGGGGCAAATACTTTTTCACTGCACTGTAATTAAGACTTCTGAGGATTGTGACCTTGTAAATGTCAAACTCACAATCACACTTTATTTAAAATATGTATTTATTTCTGTTTTTATGAACAGACATTTCTACCCACACTATTAGAGATTCTGATCCAGTGCTTAGAGACAGTTCAGATTTTATTGCATAAAAAGTAAATTACTGGTTTTGGAAAAGGGTGCCTAGGTCCAGTCCTGGTGATTTACTGCCATGGAATTTTTTGTTACAACACCTTGCTGTAATATTCTGATGCTCCTAAAAGCCTTGATTTACTGAATCAGGTGTGTTAGATTAGGACTGGAACTAATGCTCCTGGAAAGAAGATGACCAAGACCAGAGGTGGGCCCAGATAGTTAATCTTACCCATTACAAATTCATTGATTCTTTAATATTTTTTCCAATAGGAATGAATGGCAGAAGTTTATCCACCCCACTTATATTTCAATCATGCAAGTACACTAGAAACACCCTAGCAACCACCTGGGATACCACAGCAACCATGTAGCAACACCCTAGCAACCATGTGAATTACCATAGCAACAACCTAGCAACACCCTAGCAACCATCTGGGATGCCACTGCAATCACATAGCAACATCCGTATAGCTATGTGGAATACCATATCAACCACTAGCAACATCCTAGCAAGCTCCTGGGATACCACAGCATCCCCCCTGCAGCCCCCTAGCAAACACATGGAATACCATCTCAGCCACATATCAGCAAATTAACAATGATATGGAATACTGTAGCAACTACTTAGCAACACCTTTTCAACCATCTGGGCTACCATAGCAACTGCTTAGCAACTGATTAGCAAACCCAAGTAACTGCCTAAAAATCCTCAGTGCACAAATCCAAGTCTATGACAAAGCTTTTCCAGTAATTTAGAAATACCTTCCTTTAAAACAAAACTAATTACAACAGAACAGGAGGAGCTTACATTCTATAAATATACATATAAACAAACATATATTACACATTACACCTTCAGACATTCTTCGGTTTAAAAAATTAGGCCTTTTGGGTTTAACATAATCCATTTTGCCCAAATCTGGTTTTACATGTTGAGGGATGTGGAGAGCTTTTCCATTATGTAGATATTGTGTATTATATCCATCCATTTATTCACTGTACGTTACTCAAGATTTAACCATTTCCTGGTAATTGCCCTTTATTTCGCTACTAAAAGTATGAGAGTCAATTTCCTATCCTTGTTCTTTCACATTGTGAAAGGAATGTTACCCAGATATAAACAAACAACTTTAAATGGAATGTCCTTTTCAAAAATAGCTTCCAAATTTCTGTGTATCCTCTTTCAGAAGGGAGCAAGAGCCCCACATCCCCTAAAAAACATGAAAATGGTCAGCATCATTTTTTCCACAGTGTCTCCAGAATCCTGTACCAGTACCCAGATGTTTTTGCAAGGGTGTGATAGGAAAGCTCATAGTATTTTCCCAAGAACAATTTCTTCACATGCTTGAATGAGTTGATTCCCATTGTATTTGGTATACTGTATTTCATTCATCTCCTGTAATTAGCGTGGTACCCACCTTTTCCCATTTCTGTTGAACGTAAATCATACATTTCACATTTAACATTTCATCATTAACAAATAATTTTCTGCACACCTCCAATTTACACGTTGACAAAAATAGTCATAATTTCTACTTCAATTGTTTTTAAAGCTTTTTGATTAAAGTAGTGCCAGACTTGTAGATGTAAAAGTCATTTGATCCCAAACCATATTTTCTCTGCAAAGAATTAAAACTCATAAAGGTTTCATTGTCAAGTGTGTAATAATTTGAAAGCTGTTTTTTGACTCAGGCCTGAAATCTATCTTCAAATTTATTTGGGTTAAAATCTGTGTCATATGCACAACATTTTAATAGCAAAGATGAGTTTTGTAAACTACTTAACTCACAAATTCTCATGGCGGTGTTAATCCATGGATTATTCTTATCTATCGTTTGATTTTTTAGTTTGCTATCAATGATCATAGCTGCTGTTGGACACCCCTCTATTTCAGTCCATCTTGCTGAATATGTTGGGTTACACAAACCTTAACTGAGCTGCATAACAGTAGTCTTGTGGACAAGGAAGTTTCAGTCCTTCCTTTTCCTTTGTTACTGCAACATTTTATACTTAATCCTAGGCCTTTTCAACCACCATAGTGTCAAAAGCTTTTTTTCACATCTAAGCTTGTGAAAGCTGCTCTAATCAATGCTGGGTAATGTGTCTGATAATATGTAGTGTCTGCCATTTTTAAATGCTAATGAATGTGTTTTCCCCCTTTTTACAGACTGTTGAGCAGTTCTGCTGCAGAGGAAGCCTGTGATTCTCTGACTAAAGCTCTAGGAATAAACCCCTTACTGCGGAGCAAGCTGGATCTGAGTGGGAAAATACAAGGAGATTCAGAATTGAGGAAGATCTCTGATCTACTGGCAGATTTACACTGCAGACCTAATAATCTCAAGTGTGTAGTTTAATGTAATATATATATTTTACTGAAAAGTAAAGAACATTTTTGCCTTCTCATGTAAAGTTACTGTTTTGGAGAAACATGTTTTTCTTTGGACAGTTACAATGCGACTGTATATATACATATTTGTGTTTGTGTGTTTAATATAAAATTTGCATACATTTTCTCATTCTGCAGGCTGAATAAGTGCAGTATTACAGGGGAAGGCTGTGCTGCTCTATCATCAGCTCTTTGTTCAAATCCTTCACACCTGATAGAGCTGGATCTGAATGAGAATAAACTAGGAAACTCTGGAGTGAAGCAGATCTGTACTCTACTGAAAAATCAGTGCTGTAAACTGCAGAAACTGAAGTGAGTTCCAGTTCTTTCACAAAGACCACTAAATGCTTGAAGGCATTTGTATTGATGGAATTAAAATGCAATCAGAAGCATATTTTATAGGATATAGTCTATTTAAAAGCACAAATTTCCATCATGCTGTTTCAGTACAGTTAACATATGTTTTCTTTCCAGTCTTTCATTCTGCAGTATCACAGAGGAAGGATATGCAGTTCTGGTTTCAGCTCTGAAATCAAACCCCTCATCATACCTGATAGAGCTGGATTTCAGAGGGAACAATCCTGGAGCTACAGGAGTGAAGGAGCTCACTGATCTACTAGAGGATCCAAACTGTAAATTGAAGACACTGAGGTAGATAGTTTAGGGTATATATTTTAGTTTCTTTTTGAATATGAGGGAAAAAGCTTGTAAATGTAAAACTCTCAATGCTCAAAGTTTTCTACAGCTCATAGTGTGTTTATTTGATTATTAATGAGTTTACTTTTTCAGGAGATGTTTTTTCTATGTACCGCATTCTGTCCAAAATACATTTACAAACTTTTTGTTATTTGCTGATAAAATAAATGAATGATTTAGAGTTCTAAATGAATAAGCTGACTGATAATGGTTTTGCACTGTCAGTACTATTATTGATTATTAGTGATTAATGGGACTGATACCCAATATTTGAAGTTTAGTACTGTAAAAATGAAGAACTCTTACTCACAACTTGCATTAAATTAACATAATACTATAACATCACAAAACAGGGTTTGAGCTTTAGACAGTATAAATGTTAGAAAAATATTAGCCCAATAAATTTTAAATCGATATTGTTTTTATAATTTTACAATTTCATTTTTAAATTTTACCATAACAGCAACAAGAAATGTCATAACATGAATAACAATAACTTTATAAACAACTCCTCAATACTAATGTTGAGGAAAACTGAAACCTTTTTGTCTCATTTCCTCAGCAGTGTCTATTGAGTCATGTTCTCCAGTACAAACGGTCCTGTTCTTGCCATATGTTGCTGTGACTTCATTGAAAACATGTCCACTTGGTGCACAGGAGGGTGGACAACAGAGAATATCTGACTTGAAAAAAAAGCATATTTCATTGTCTTTTCCACTTTGCATTGGGTCACAGCAATTCTACCCTTTGACCCTGATCTCTTTGGCAGCAGCAAATTCTTTTTGACTGGTCTTTTGTGGAACAACTTCCTGTTATATGCCCTCTTTCAGTCATTCTTTGGTCTTGGTCAGTGTATGAATCTTGTAATGGGATCCCAGTTACATGCTGGCACTTTTTTCATTTCTTCATGCTTTTGGAGACATTTGATCAAGCTGCTCTCATGATCCATAATCCTCTTGAAGTGTCTTCAGAATGATAAATAACAAGGATGTCAGAAAAATTCACTTTGAGTGACACTTTCTCAGTTGGCAGGAGGAGCAAAATAGGCACAACTTCCCACTTATCACCAGTAGCATGTCCTCCATGTTTAGTTGAATAGATGCTAAAATCATGTTTCTGTTCCTACATTTGTTGCAATTTATCAAATACCAGGTTCAACCTTCCTGGGACGGCCTGAATTAAGTTGAGTTTGACCAGCAAAAGTCCACCTGAATGTTCATCCAGTGCCACTGGACAAGAACAGAATGACTTCCTTAGCATTATTATAATGTCTACAACTGCTCTTGGTCTTGAACAGACTATTGTTCAGCATCAGTTACTATGAATGTGCTGTCCAGTCTAGGTATGGTAATTCAGCAAAGACTCATTCCTTACACCACATTTACTCTACAGTCTCATCGCAGGAGAATCATCACATGGCCTTTGCTTATGCTCCTATCACCAAGCATGTCTAAGATGATAGATTTACCAGTGTGGGTCCACACGACATATCCAAGTATATCCTTTCTTGTGTATCCATTACCAATAAAGAGGCTCAGCAGTTCTACTGTTCTGTTCATCATGAAATCATGTAAAGTCTACTGTGTCATTGAAGTCATTAAGTTTGTCATAGACTTGCTTCTGACAATGACTATCAGTTTAGAAGTCATAAATGATATTTAACATTCATAATAATAATAATAATAATAATAATAACAGCCAGGCCTTATTAAGAAATTAGCATCTTTTAAACGCTTTCACAGTAGCTTATAAATTAGTTCTATATTTAAGCACATCACTGGAAATAAACAGGTAAAAGAGTGATTTTAAAGAACTGTGTCTGTAAAATTGTCATTAATGTGAGCTTTTATCTCTTGACAGGCTGTTAAAAAGTTCTACTGCAGAGGAAGTCTGTGATTCACTGACTAAAGTTCTAGGAAAGAACCCCTTATTGCTGAGAGAGCTGGATCTGAGTGGGAAAATCCAAGGAGATTCAGAACTGAAGAAGATCTCTGATCTACTGGAGGATTCACACTGCAGAACTCAGAAACTGAAGTATGTAGTTTAATGAATTTGGATTTTAAGTTGTCATTTTCTAAAATAAAAATACAGTATTGGTATTTGTCTGTTATGGGTTGCACAATACATTTTGCACTGTTGTAAGAACATTCAAAACACACACACACACACACACACACACACACACACACACACACCATCTAAACCGCTTATCCTTCTGGGTCGCGGTGGGGTGCTGGAGCCTATCCCAGCTGTCATTGGGTGGAAGGCAGGATACACCCTGGACAGGTCGCCAGTCCATCGCAGGGCAGACAGACACTCACACCTAGGGGCAATTTAGCAAGTCCAACTGGCCTGACTGCATGTTTTTGGACTGTGGGAGGAAACCGGAGTACCCGGAGGAAACCCACGTAGACACAGGGAGAACAGGCAAACTCCACACAGAAAGGACCCTGGTCGCCCAGCCGGGAATCGAACCCAGACCATTCTTGCTGTGAGGCGACAGCGATACCCACTGCACCACCGTGCCGCCCACATTCATAACAATTTTTTAATGTTCAAAAAAACATTTGCAGGGCATAAGTAAATATACAGAATGGCACAAACTTTAACATAAATTAAAATGTAGTGCTTTTGGATATTTCCTGAAATTAACTTTCTCCACTATCTCTTTTCAGGCTGAATAAGAGCAGTATTACAGAGGAAGGCTGTGCTGCTCTATCATCAGCTCTTTGTTCGAATCCCTCCCACCTGATAGAGCTGGATCTGAGTGAGAATAAACTAGGAGACTCTGGATTGAAGACAATCTGTGACGTGTTGAAGAATCCTGACTGTAAACTACAGAAACTGAAGTGAGATCATTTAAAATAACATAATTAAACATCAGAATAGGCTGGAGTTTATTTTGATGTACACCATTACACTAGATTACCTGATATATATTTTATGTTTGTAACATGACAGAACGAGTCAGATGTGTGCAGATACTAGTACTACGGAGGCTTTAGTAGTTGAATCACTTTCCAGAGTTGTCTTAAAAAAAAAGGTCAGATCAAATAGGTGCAAAATATACAACTACAGAAACATAACACAAAACAAACCAGGCAGACAAAATCTAAAAAGGGAAAAGACAAAAGGCAAAGTTACAAATAAAGACGAAAATTCACGACCAGAATAAACCCTTTTAGACCCGAATGTTCAAGTGATGGAAAAAATATAAGATTATCTGTCTGTAATGGACTTAAAATCAAGATATACACACACACACACACACACACACACCTTAACCGCTTATCCTTCTGGGTCACGGGGGGAGCTGGAGCCTATCCCAGCTGTCATTGGGTGGAAGGCAGGAAACACCCTGGACAGGTCAGCAGTCCATCGCAGGGCAGACAGACAGACATATACATTCACACACACTCACACCTAGGGGCAATTTAGCATCTCCAATTGGCCTGACTGTATGAGGAAACCCACGCAGACATGGGGAGAACATGCAAACTCCAGAAAGGACCCTGGTCACCTGGGAATCAAACCTGGGGCATAAACTAAAAGTTCTATACATAATGTCCAAGTTTTGTTAATGTGATTATTTTTCAAATAAATATACGTTTAACAGTTAACCAAGGAGAAAAACGTGCCCCTAACTGATCACTAACTTAGTGGTCGTATTTGAAAAAGCTTTTTGAAGAACTCTTGAAAAACATGCATTTTGAACAGTAGTTTCAGTGCTTTGCTTATTTTTACTCCTTAACTGTGTCCTGTAACTGGACACTACTGAGGAGTGCCAGTCCATATCTCAGAGTCACTGTCTGTGGGCTGCTCTGAAGCAGTTTTGTTGTGGAATGAAGCAGTAGTGGACCTTGCACTTGTCACAGTATACATGTGTTTTCCCAGTGCACTGTGGGAATGTACATCTGGTTGCTTCTTTACGATCATCGTAATTTGGCATATGGTCCATCAAGTCTCAACAACAATCTTGATGCCCTATCAGTGGTACCTCCTCATCACTGACATCTCCTGGAATCAACAACAAAAAATAGCTATATATCTATACATGTTTTTTATGGATGTTTTTAAGAACAATCTTTACTATACAGTGATAAACTTTCACTCACCTACTGTAGAGGGTCTTGCACTGTCTACAACTTCATTATCATCACCACTAGCCAAGCTTTTGATTTCTGAGATGCTTTCACTGTCAGTTAACTAACGCACCTGAAGTGTTGTGTCATCTGTAGAATATTTTGCATCTTAATATACACTTAATTTAATGCAGTATATGTCTGTATACACTGTGATTGCAAAGTAAAATTTTAGCAGCACTAAAAACTAGCCTGACCAATATACATCAAGACCCACTGCCCACTGTAATGGACAACAAGATTTAAAAAATCCTGTGTTTAACATTGTTATTTTATAATTGATATTTTACTTTTTATTCCACAATCTATCCCTAAACAGTGAAATAAACTCACAGCATGATGGAAAAAAGTTTTCTAAATCAGATAAAATTTGTACAATGAGCCCTTACTCTGCCTCCTTGGCTGGAGTGCTGCCATGCCTTACTTCAGTGTGCTGATGATTTTTTTCCCCAGTGCAGTGGGTGGGGCTAAGCTGCTGTTTGATTGGCTGATAAACATCTATTCTGGTGGACAGCAGGTCTCAATTGGTGTCATGTGCAAAAGACATAAAAAAAGAAGAAAACACATGATGTCCATTGCCATGGATGCAGGGTCTGAAAGGGTTAAACAACCAAAACACAGGAAAGAACGTTCAGGTGCTCTGAATCAAAGCAATACCTCGCAGTGGGCTAACCTAAAGCCCTGGCTTATATACTAAACTGAACTAATCACATGACATAAAAACAGGTGAAACTAATCAATAATCAGGCAAGGCAGATGTCTGATACGTGGATTGTTGTGAGGTCACAGTCACGTCTTCACCCAGAAGGTTCCAGGAAATGGACTCTACCATAGAGTTAGGGCTGGATGGCTGGATGGTTGTGTAACAATGATGTTTATTGTTTTACCTATTTGAACTGTTTTTTATCTTTTTGAGGGAGACTTTTGTATGAGAACATACGTATATATATTATATTTATATATTTAAATTTTAAATATACAAAGTTATTTAGATCTTTTGTTTTCTCCTTCTACAGGCTGAATAAGAGCTGTATTACAGAGGAAGGCTGTGCTGCTCTGTCATCAGCTCTTTGTTTAAATCCTTCAAACCTGATAGAGCTGGATCTGAGTGAGAATAAACTAGGAAGCTCTGGAGTGAAGAAGATCTGTTCTCTACTGAACAATCAGTGCTGTAAACTGCAGAGACTGAAGTGAGTTCCAGTTCTTTCACAGAAAACATTAAATACATGAAGGCTTTTGTAATGATGGGGTGGAAGTTCAAACAAAAGCATGAATTTTAAATAACTGAACTGAACAGCACAAATTTTCATCATGACGTTTTGGCAATGCCTATGTTCTCTTTTTAGTCTTTCATTCTGCAGTGTAACAGAGAAAGGATATGCTGCTCTGGCTTCAGCTCTGAAATCAAACCCATCAACACACCTGACAGAGCTGGATCTCAGAGGGAATGATCCTGGTGATACAGGAGTGAAGGAGCTCACAGACATATTTGGGAATTCGAGTAAAACACTGAGGTGAGATATTATAAACAATTGTCACTTGGATATTTCAAATATTTAATGAGTGATAACGTACTGTATAAGTAACCTAATTGGGAACTATACTAGATAGAAACTATATGGCAAAAAATAGAATGACAGAATGAGGTATAACAGTTGCAACCTGTAATTACATATTAATTACACTAAATTATATTACACTGGTATAGCCGATTCCTAGTATCTCCCTTTATACACTTATTAATGTGGCTGTGTTTTTCTTCTATTTACAGACTGTTGAAAAGCAGTGATGCAGAGGAAGCCTGTACATTCCTTAATAAGATTCTGGGTAAAAACCCCTTACTGCAGAGAGAGTTAGATCTGAGCAGGACTGAACCGAACCACATCAAAGTGCAGCAGCTGTGTGCTCTACTGGAGGATCCACACTTCAGACTGGAGAAACTTAAGTAAGCAGTTAATGAAATACATGTAGACTGATTTTCTAGCTGCACACTGGCCTTAGACTGCAATCAAGGCCCAATGTAACTTTTCCATATCCACTGACAATACATGACCTTAAAAATGTTATGATCAGTCTTACTGTATTGTCGATCTGTGCAGCTGATTGTGATTTTTAGTGGTCAAAGGCTTATTTAACTTCAGAGATCGTGTAACTTAGATTTTTGGCCAAACCATTCCTTTTATCTGTAGTCAGCAAAAATCCTTTAACTGCGGGGCATCACACTCAACTGTGAGAGATTTAAAATCATTTCAGTATGTGGCAGAGCTACCTGGAACGGCAATAACAGCATTCAGTCAGCGTGCAGAGCAGCTTTGTAGATAAATAAGGCAAAGCAGAGCAGCTTTATAGCAGCATTATAGATAAATAAGGCCTTGCAGAGCAGCTTTATAGATAAATAAGGCCTTATAGAGCAGCGTTATAGATAGGTAAGGCCATATAGAGCAGCAATATAGAAAAATCAAGCCTTACAGAGCAACTTTATAGATAAATAAGGCCTTTGCAGAGCAGCTTTGTAGATAAACAAGGCCTTGCACAGCAGCTTTGTAAATAAATAAGGCCCTGCAGAGCAGCGTTATAGATAAATAAGGCCTTGGAGAGCAGCGTTATAGAGAAATAAGGTCTTGCAGAGCAGCGTTATAGATAAATAAGGCCTTGCAGAGCAGCTTTGTAGATAAATATGGCCTTGCACAGCAGCTTTGTAGAGAAATAAGGCCTTGCAGAGCAGCATTATAGATAAATAAGGCCTTTCAGAGCAGCATTATGGATAAATAAGGCCTTGCAGAGCAGCGTTATAGATAAATAAGGCCTTGCAGAGCAGCTTTATAGATATATAAGGCCTTGCAGAGCAGCTTTATAGATAAATAAGGCCTTGTAGAGCAGCATTGTGGATAAATAAAGCCTTGCAGAGCAGTTTTGTTGATAAATAAGGCCTTTCAGAGCAGCTTTGTAGAGAAATAAGGCCTTGCAGAGCAGCTTTATAGAGAAATAAGGCCTTTCAGAGCAGCATTTTGGATAAATAAGGCCTTTCAGAGCAGCTTTGTAGAGAAAGAAGGCCTTACACAGCAGCTTTATAGATAAATAAGGCCTTGCAGAGCAGCTTTATAGATATATAAGGCCTTGCAGAGCAGCATTTTGGATAAATAAGGCCTTTCAGAGCAGCTTTATAGATAAATAAGGCCTTGCAGAGCAGCGTTATAGAGAAATAAGGCCTTGCAGAGCAGCTTTGTAGATAAATAAGGCCCTGCAGAGCAGCTTTATAGACAAATAAGGCCTTGCAGAGCAGCTTTGTAGAGAAATAAGGCCTTGCAGAGCAGCATTATAGATAAATAAGGCCTTGCAGAGCAGCATTATAGATAAATAAGGCCTTGTAGAGCAGCTTTATAGATAAATAAGGCCTTGCAGAGCAGCATTATAGATAAATAAGGCCTTGTAGAGCAGCTTTATAGATAAATAAGGCCTTGCAGAGCAGCTTTATAGATAAATAAGGCCCTGCAGAGCAGCGTTATAGAGAAATAAGGCCTTGCAGAGCAGCATTATAGATAAATAAGGCCTTGCAGAGCAGCTTTATAGATAAATAAGGCCTTGCAGAGCAGCATTATAGATAAATAAGGTCTTGTAGAGCAGCTTTATAGATAAATAAGGCCTTGCAGAGCAGCTTTATAGATAAATAAGGCCCTGCAGAGCAGCGTTATAGAGAAATAAGGCCTTGCAGAGCAGCATTATAGATAAATAAGGCCTTGCAGAGCAGCATTATAGATAAATAAGGCCTTGCAGAGCAGCATTATAGATAAATAAGGCCTTGTAGAGCAGCTTTATAGATAAATAAGGCCTTGCAGAGCAGCTTTATAGATAAATAAGGCCCTGCAGAGCAGCGTTATAGATAAATAAGGCCTTGCAGAGCAGCGTTATAGATAAATAAGGCCTTGCAGAGCAGCATTATAGATAAATAAGGCCTTGTAGAGCAGCTTTATAGATAAATAAGGCCTTGCAGAGCAGCGCTATGGATAAATAAGGCCTTGCAGAGCAGCTTTGTAGATAAATAAGGCCTTGCAGAGCAGCTTTGTAGATAAGGCCTTGCAGAGCAGCATTATAGATGAATAAGGCCTTTCAGAGCAGCATTATGGATAAATAAGGCCTTGTAGAGCAGCTTTATAGAGAAATAAGGCCTTGCAGAGCAGTGTTATAGAGGAATAAGGCCTTGCAGAACAGCAATGTAGATAAATAAGGTCTTGCAGAGCAGCTTTATAGATAAATAAGGCCTTGCAGAGCAGCTTTGTAGACAAATAAGGCAGAGCAGAGCAGCGTTATAGAGAAATAAGGTCTTGCAGAGCAGCTTTGTAGATAAATAAGGCCTTGCAGAGCAGCTTTGTTGATAAATAAGGCCTTGCAGAGCAGCTTTATAGAGAAATAAGGCCTTGCAGAGCAGCGTTATAGAGAAATAAGGTCTTGCAGAGCAGCTTTGTAGATAAATAAGGCCTTGCAGAGCAGCTTTGTTGATAAATAAGGCCTTGCAGAGCAGCTTTATAGAGAAATAAGGCCTTGCAGAGCAGCGTTATAGAGAAATAAGGTCTTGCAGAGCAGCTTTGTAGATACATAAGGCCTTGGAGAGCAGCTTTGTAGAGAAATAAGGCCTTACAGAGCAGCTTTATAGAGAAATAAGGCCTTGCAGAGCAGCGTTATAGAGAAATAAGGTCTTGCAGAGCAGCTTTGTAGATAAATAAGGCCTTGGAGAGCAGCTTTGTAGAGAAATAAGGCCTTGGAGAGCAGCGTTATAGAGAAATAAGGTCTTGCAGAGCAGCTTTATAGAGAAATAAGGCCTTGCAGAGCAGCGTTATAGAGAAATAAGGTCTTGCAGAGCAGCTTTGTAGATAAATAAGGCCTTGGAGAGCAGCTTTGTAGATAAATAAGGCCTTGGAGAGCAGCTTTGTAGATAAATAAGGCCTTGGAGAGCAGCTTTGTAGAGAAATAAGGCCTTACAGAGCAGCTTTATAGAGAAATAAGGCCTTACAGAGCAGCGTTATAGATAAATAAGGTCTTGCAGAGCAGCTTTGTAGATAAATAAGGCCTTGCAGAGCAGAGTTATAGATAAGTAAGGTCTTGCAGAGCAGCTTTGTAGAGAAATAAGGCCTTGGAGAGCAGCTTTATAGAGAAATAAGGCCTTGCAGAGCAGCGTTATAGAGAAATAAGGTCTTGCAGAGCAGCTTTGTAGATAAATAAGGCCTTGGAGAGCAGCTTTGTAGAGAAATAAGGCCTTACAGAGCAGTGTTATAGATAAATAAGGTCTTGCAGAGCAGCTTTGAAGATGAATAAGGCCTTTTAGAGCAGCTTTATAGATAAATAAGGCCTTGTAGAGCAGCTTTGTTGATAAATAAGGCCTTGCAGAGCAGCGTTATAGATAAATAAGGCCTTGCAGAGCAGCGTTATAGAGAAATAAGGCCTTGCAGAGCAGCGTTATAGAGAAATAAGGTCTTGCAGAGCAGCTTTGTAGATAAATAAGGCCTGGCAGAGCAGCTTTGTAGATAAATAAGGCCTTTCAGAGCAGCGTTATGGATAAATAAGGCCTTGCAGAGCAGAGTTATAGAGAAATAAGGCCTTGCAGAGCAGCGTTATAGAGAAATAAGGCCTTGCAGAGCAGCGTTATAGAGAAATAAGGCCTTGCAGAGCAGCGTTATAGAGAAATAAGGCCTTGCAGAGCAGCATTATAGAGAAATAAGGCCTTGCAGAGCAGCATTATAGAGAAATAAGGCCTTGCAGAGCAGCATTATAAATAAATAAGGTCTTGCAGAGCAGCTTTGAAGATAAATAAGGCCTTTCTGAGCAGCTTTGTAGATAAATAAGGCCTTGCAGAGCAGCTTTATAGAGAAATAAGGCCTTGCAGAGCAGCGTTATAGATAAATAAGGCCTTGTAGAGCAGCTTTGACTGTCTGCACATTCTGTTTCTTATGCAATGTCAGAAATAGCTGGTAATGCATCTAAATAATACTCAGTTTGTGTTTCGTCATCTCGCAGCTCAGCACAACAGTGTGAAAATCACCAAAATGATGACAGGGGTCCTCAGGATTATGCACTCAGCTCCAGATATTGACCCCTTTATGCAGTGCAGAGCACATTTTTCACATGGTAGAAGATTATGTGTTAACCATTATAGATTAAGGAGTTAAATAGAGAAGCTAAACAGAAGTCTGCAGCCATTGAGTTAGAGTGGGGAATCGTTTATTTGTTGTGGTAACCTAAACTCTTGCCTGAAGAGATTATTGCTACTTTTACACACAAAGGTGAAAAAACTTATTTTAATTTTTACATTTGTCTCCTCCTGACTTCCTCTCTCTCTCTCTCTTTCTCCCACTCTCTCTTTCTCTCTCTCTCTCTTTTTCTCTCTCTGCAGGCTGAATAAGTCAGGTCATGTCAGAGTAAGAAGCTATGCTAACAATCATCCAATTTACAAAGAAAGGTGAACAAAAAAAAAAAAAGATTTAAATTTTTACCTATGCGTACTCCTGACTTCATCTCTTTCTCTCTCTCTCTCCCTCTATAGGCTGTATAAATCAGACATTATTACAAAGAGAGACTGTGCTGATCTGATTTCTGCTCTGACTGTAAACCCCTCACACCTGAGAGAGCTGGATCTGAACAAGAATAAACTAAACAAGTCAGGAGTGGAGAAGCTCTGCAATCTACTGATGAATCCTGACTGTACACTGGAGAAACTGAAGTGAGTAATACTTTAGTAAAGGGTTAATTACATGTGTTTAAGAGCTGTAGGCCTGAAACACATCAGCTAAATGTTTTATGGGACTGAAAGTACTTTAGCAGGAAAACACCTTTATATTTCCATTAATTAATTACACATGACCTCTGTAAGTACATGTAAGTACTGTATGTGTAATTTATAGAACACTTTTCATACTGGTAGCAGCTCCAAGTGCTTTACAGACAGGTGACAAAGTTTAACAGTAATAGAGATTTTCTTCTGTTGTAGTTACTATTTTGTAGCAACAATATAAGGGAAAAAATGACAAATTTGAATTTAACAGTATTAATTTAATGAAGTTAAAATGAAAAGCTAAATGAAACAGAGATGTTTCCAATTGTTTATTAAAAGTGTGCAGTGAGTTTGACTAATAAAAGATGGAATTGAGTTCCACAGCAGAATAACTGAAAGAGTCTCTCCACATTTCTTGTTTTTTACTGAAGGTGTTTGAAGGTCAGAATCTGCAGATCTGAGATCATAAAGAGACACACATTCAGGAGCTTTAAGGTCATTTAGAGCTTTAAAAACCAGCAGCAGAGCTTTAAACTCTCTCTAACTGATCCAGGCGGTCAGTGCAGTGTGTAACAGGGAGATATGAGATCTCTGTGTTGGTGCTGTGAGGATCCATGCTGCTGTGTTCTGCATGGGTTCTAGAGGATGGACTGTTTTCTCCAGTAAGAAGATCATTACAGTGATCAACTCTGATGAACAAATGCAACTACAAGTTTCTCCATGTTGCTCTGAGAGAGAAAAGGCAGAATTTTAATGATATTTCTCAATTGATAAAATGCTACTTTAGTGACTGTGCAGATAAACCAGAGCTCAGAGTCTAAGACCACAGCCAGGTTGGTGTATGAAAATAAAGAGCCAAGCTTTTCATAAAGCAATTTCTCTGAGTTTTAGGACCAAGGATCAATATTTAAGTTGTTCCCTGATTTAGTTGCAACATCCACTGAGAAATATCTGACACACAGCTGGTTAGTCTGTTTACAGAGTCTTGATCATCAAAAGGAATAGAAATGTGGGTGTCATCAGTATAGTTATGAAAATTCATGTAATGTTTCCTAATAACATCGCCTAATGGTAACATGGACAAAGAGAAAATCAAAGGCCCTAAAACTGAACCTTGTGGGACTTCACACAAAATGGTACATTTTTTTGTGGAATGATTTTTCTCAGTGAAACCAAGAACCATCTGTTAACTAAATGATTTGAACCATTCTAAATTTGTACCTATGAGGCCTACACAGTATTTAATATGGTGGATTACAATATTGTGATCAATGGTATCAAAAGCTGCTCTATGATCCAATAAGACCAGAACAGAAAAATTCTGTGCATCAGCGCTGAACCTGAGATCATGAACCAGTGCTATCTCAGTACTACGGTTAGCACGAAACTTGATTGAAATTTCTTTGAGGATTTGTTTGATATCACATATGCATTATTTGTTTGAAAAAAAATCTAAATGTTTGTTTAAAAAATGTTTGAAATTGGTCTAAAAATATTTAGTACTGAAGGATCCATGCTGCTCTTTATTAGTAGAAGCTTCACTAAGCTATTCGAATATCTCAGATGTAGGTAAATATAAATATGTTTAAGAAATGGCAAAATTCAACTAATTAGACTAAACCTCTATTCTACTCTTTTTTTTGCAACAGTTTAACAAACAAATACTGAGGCTATTCCACTGGGTGGTCATTGGATTTTTCATCACCTTACATAGTAATTTGTTGTTATGGCAATTAAAGAATTAGATCTATAACATCTGTAAAATATTTGTATGTTGCTGTAGTGGGATTGTGTACTCTAATTGTCAGGGAAGGAGTCAATGCTGTATTTGATACACTAATATAAGCATTTTTAAACTTATCAACTGTTTTTGGGTTAATGTAATTTTTTAAATAACTTTCAGACACTTTCGTCCTAGCTTGTATATTGATACAGAAATGTATGTAAAAATACATCAGAGATTCATTAATGCATGTGTACAGCATATATATATATATATATATATATATATATATATATATATGTATACACACATACACACACACACACACACACACACACACACATCATTATTAATCAATGATTAATAAATAGTTCAGCTAGTGAACATGTAAAAGTAGTACAAAATATACTCGTTTTTATTCCCTCCCACTGTGTGCTGAGATTAACCATAGTTCCACAGTATTTAGTACATTTTATTAATTAATTGTTGATTTTCTTGAAAACTGCAAAAAAAATTAGTGTATATATTTTCAGTGATTTATTTAATACTCATGGTATTTTTTTCTATGTTAGTTGTGTTTAATTTACTCTTGCTTCTCCCTCTCGATCTATGTTGTAGCATTTGTTTTACAGTAATTTATGTATTACACTTTTTTTATTTTGTGCTAAATGTACCCTTCTCTCTCTTCCCCCTCTCGCTCTACAGACTTGCTAACACTATTACAGAGGAATCGTGTGTAGCTCTGGTTTCAGCTCTTTGTGTAAAGCCCTCATATATCAGAGAGCTGAACCTGAGTGAGAATAAACTGGGAGATTCAGGAGTGAAGAAGCTCTGTGATCTACTGAAGAATCAGGACTGTAAACTACAGAAACTACTGTGAGTAACTTCATCATTACGGCATTAAACTAATAAAACAGCTTTATACCGACTGCAGGTCATTGAGATTATTGTGTTAGAGTTTTTTCCTGTGAAGTTCCGATTATTACTGTTACATAATAATAAAATAGACAAGAATTTCATGATTATAGTCATTGAACAGCTTTGCTAATGTGACATGAACTGTACTTTCAGTTGAATTCAAATGATATTCAAATGAATAGTTAACTGAAAGGACCAACTTTACCCAGCTACACCCTCTTACCCTCTTGAAGTTTGTTTATTTAGTTTTGTACTGGAACTAATATAATAGAAATCACCAAAGATTTTGTGTCACATAGATTTCTATTAGTAGTTAACTATATTAGCCTCATAGCTCCAGTACAGAACTGAATCACAGTCTGTAAGCTTGATTATCCTTTAAAGTACTTTTTTTTTAATTATACATTTGTGGCATTATAGCAGACACTCACATCCACTGTGACCTACAAAAGGGCTTTGCTGTCCACAGTGTATTTACCCTGAGAGTCCAAACTACCCTTGAGCTAAGATACTGAAACAAAAGTCAGTGCTGATACCTAGAAAAGACAAATAGAAGAGACAAGACATTTCAGTAAGTGCTGGATTAGTGTTTATTTAAAGGCTCCACAAGGAGATGGACTCCAGGTGGTGTTTGAAGACAATGAGTGACTCCCTTGGAAGTTCATTCCCCCTTGAGTGCCCCTCAATACATGACTCAGACCACTTTAGGGCAGAGCCAATGATTCCAAGATTGGTGAGGATGGACAGAAGGTTATTGTGGTTGACTGTGTCAAAGGCTGTAAAAGCTCATGAAGAATCAGTTTCTGTAAAGTGAGCTGGTTTAAACCCAGATTGTTTGGGATCCTGGAAAGACAGACAATTGGCTGTATAGACTGCATATTCAAGAATCCTTCAGAGGAAAGAAAGGAGTGATACTGGTTGGTAGCTGCAAGTCAGAGCTGTGTAGTGTGGGCTTTAGGTCCTGGAAGACGGTCTGAAGCAGTGTGGATGGGATGAGTGGGCAGGTGGTTGGACTGCTGGATGTCAGTAGCTGTAGGATGTCATTTGTGGAAACAGGATAAAAACAGTTTGATAACTAAGAGCTTAGGAATGAGGACTGATGGGGTGGACACAAGCTAAAAGAACTGGTTCTGTTCTGTAGATGGATGTCAGAACATACTAACTGTGACTTCTGACAAAATCGATGGATTTTATTATGGAATTCATAATTATTATGTTTAAGTAGTTTTAACACAACTTTTATTTTTTCTGTTATTCTGTGCTAAACTAAAACATCTTTTTAATTTCAAAGTTATTGTTTATAATTATGTTTGTCTAATTGTTGTGAATCCTTGTTGTTCTTCTTCATCTTCTTCTCATTATTATTATTATTATTATTATTATTATTATTATTACTATCATTCCTTAAAAATGTGTGACTAAAATATGGTTGATAGTGTTCTGGAGTAAAGAAAAAAGGAATGTTTCATTTTCTGCTGGATTAATAATTGCAGTATAGATAATAAAGGCTGTGCTGCTCGGCTGATTTCTTTAGTTGAATAAAGCATACATATTCTCCATAATGTACCACATACTTAATAATAATAGGATACTTAGTAAAGCATGTATACATTATACAAATATTTTTATAAAACCTATTACCAATGATTAATAAATAGTTCAGCCAGTGGATGTGTGCTGAGATCAACCAGAGTTCTATAGTATTTAATACATTTTATTATTTAATCGCTGATATTTTTAAATACTGCAAAAATGTTTTTGTATATATTTTCAGTGATTTATTTAATACTCATGGTATTTTTTCCTTTGTTAGTTGTGTGTAATTTACTCTTCCTTCTCCCTCTTGATCTACAGACTTGTTCAGAGTTTACCAGAGAAATCCTGTGCAGATCTGGCTTCAGCTCTTTGTGTAAATCCATCATTTATCAGAGATCTGAACCTGAACTGGAATAAACTAGATGAGTCAGGAGTGAAAGAGCTCTGCAATCTACTGAAGAATCCTCACTGTAAACTGAAGAAACTGAAGTGAGTAATATTCAATAAAGGAGATAATTATATCTGTAAGAGCAGCATATCCAAGTTTAATCAGTTAACAGTGTTATGAAACCACATGTTTATTCAGCAGAACAGGACATTCATAATACGCATAATTTAACCCTTATTCAATAATAGCAAAATATTTACTAAGGTATATATGCTTGATATTAATGTATATATTTTCATAAAATGAATTATTGATCTGACACATCTGAAAAAAATCTCATCTGAATTAGATTAATATCTGATCTGAATTAGATTAGTCAATGAATGTGTAAAACTACTACAGAATAGACTACTTTATTCCACACAACCCATAGCATTTATAACATTTTATGATTTAATCACTGATACTGATGTAATGTTGTAGCATTTATTGTAGCATTTGTTTTACAGTAATTTATATATTACAATTTTGTGCTAAATGTACACTTCTCTCTTCTCCCTCTCGCTCTACAGACTAGTCAACACTATCACAGAGCAATCCTGTGTTGCTCTGGTTTCAGCTCTTTGTGTAAATCCCTCACATATCAGAGATCTGGATCTGAGTGAGAATAGACTGGAAGATTCAGGAATGGAGAAGCTCTGTGATCTACTGAAGAATCAGGACTGTAAACTACAGAAACTGCTGTAAGTAACTTCATCATTACGACATTAAACTAATAAAACAGCTTCATACCGACTGCAGGTCATTGAGATTGTTATTTTGTGAAGCTCAGATTATTAATGTAATAATAAAATAGACAAGAAGTTCATGATTATAGTCATTACAGCTTTGCTAATGTGACATGGACTGTACTTTCTATGGGAGGCAAATCCAGACAAAAAAGAAATTAAAATTAAGACAATAAAATGTAAATGCAAACCTCTTTTTGCCATTTCTTTTTCCAGAAATGGCAAAAAATTTAAAAATGAAAGAAACAGGGGTTGATGAGGGTCCTTTCAGTCTGCCTCCATCAAAGTGGACGAACAACCCAACCCAGTGGTGCGAGATGTCATGTTTACGATTCTATTCCCTAAAGTTTTTTTTATCATAGCATTGTTGCAGCATTTAAACACACTTTGAATTTGGATTATTATGACGATGATCATGACAATAATTTTAGGGAACAGACAGGTGAAGCAGTCAGTGCTAGTGAGTCTGCTGTTAGTTAACTTAGCCTTTTTGTTACAGGCTCACATTAAATGGGGGATTCCTGGCTCTTCACTGTGTTCTATGTGCTGCCCTTTCAATGCAGCATCAACATTCACTACTTTAACTTTTAACATTAGAACTGTTGACTTTAACATCATAAACCTACCTATGTTGAAGTGTTTGCCACAGACGTGCATGTATTGACCGGGTGGGTCCCACTGTTTGCCATTTTCCTCCTCTCTGTGGACGGCCTGAATCCACATATATCTCCTTTTGGTGTCTGTCGCTCTTTGACGAAAAAAGGAAAATCATAAACTGGATATTTTTTTTTATTGGTAACTTTTAGGCATGGTGTCACTAGTATTCCCAGTTTGCCACCAGTACTCTGAGCAGGTTTGTTTTTGCCGAAAAGGGGGCGTGGTCATATGGACAACAGGGAAGTGACATATGCTTGCTCTGATCTATGGACTGCATGAGGAGATGATGTAGAGGAGGTGATGGGATTGAGATTCCTGCTATGGTGATGGTGTCTTATTGAGTTCTGTGGAATATTAGAGAAAAGTATTGAAAAAAACGTGATGGAAGTGAAAAAAATACAATAAAGTAGAGATACAAATGTAGAATAAATGATATTTAGCTGACATTGAAAAGTGCAGCCTCTATGTAATGATAAATGGAAAAGACAAGATTGAGCCGTCTACCTAACAGCTACAGCTTCTTATACGGGTCTTATACAGATCACAGTGGTTTTACTTTTCATATTGACTATAGAGTCATCTAAGGGCTCCATAATCAATATTAATGATTGATCAGAATACACAGTCTGAGTGCTTTCTTTAACTGAGGCAGGGTTATTGTTGATTCCTCAGATCACTTGCAGGTCATTCGTGAGGAGATGTCAGAACATAGTAACTGTAATATGACAAAATCAATGCAGTTTATCATGGAGTTTATTACGTTTTCATTAATGGTTTTAGCAAATTTTTACCATTTATTTTCTCTGCTATTCTGTGTTAAATTAAAATCTTATGTTTTGATTTCAAAGTTCTAGTTATTGTTATTTTCAGATTTACTGTTTATATTAATTATCTGTCGGTTTTATTAATTGTCTCAATGTTATTAATTTTTTCTTGTTTTTATTCTTCTTTTTATTATTATAATTGAAAATGTGTGTCTAAACTTGGTTCATGTATGTGTTCTGGACTAAAGCATTAAGGAACCTGTTTTACTGTTTGCAGGATTAAGTATTGCAGTATAGATGATAAAGGCTGTGCTGCTCTGACTTCAGCTGTGAGTTCACATCCCTTACAACTGAAACATCTGGATCTACGTTGGAATAAACTAGGAAAGTCAGTGAAGCAGCTTTCTGAGATAATGAAGGAATCAGAATGCAGGATACGGTAAGAGAATGAACCAAGTACACTTAAATGTAAAACTGCCAGCTGCATCCAGTGGCATACAGTTTTGCCGCTCCACCTACGGACACACACACACACACACACACACACACGTGTGTTACGCATTCAACATCTCTCTACACAAGAAGAACAAAATAAGACAGAATTAAACAGCAAAGTTGTAGCAGCAGCAGCTGATTTACCAACCAATGCGAATGAGTGGCCTGCTTAGGCTAGAAATCATCTGACCCAAGAAACTCAATCAAAAGTTGCTCTTTACATGGACGGATGCTACATCCATTATAATAACATAAATTATGGCACACAAATTAAGCTATTCTCAAAACAAGGGGGGATTTTACCCTGTGCACCCATAAGAAACAATTTAACAATTTAGACATCTAACTCACAAAGTTCAATTTTACATGCTAACAAAAACTTAAAATCACACGTTCATCAGAAAAGAAAATCTACAGAATAACATCTGTCCTTCTTATCAGTTCTTAAGATAATATTTAAAGCAGGATTTAAAATATTTTTATTATTAAAATATTTAAATATTTATCTTCAGGTCCTCACTGGATCGCCTCAAACAGCAGTGAGGTAGCCAATTTGGATTTTTCCCCCCAAACATAAAATCTATCAAAGTAATATCATTTTGTTCACCTTCTAACTTTCCAATAGTCCAGTGTTACTGAATCGTTAAATTTCAAATCAACTACTAACAGGGGAGGAGAATATTAACTGAGGACCTCGCTAGCAACCTGTTCTGAGAATGTGCAGATGGACCTGTAAACGCATTGTAATCTACCAGAGGAGTTAAAGCACATGTTCACGTTGGCTCCATGTAGATGTTGATCAGAGTTTTTTCTGTACTACCATGTTTCCTATAACTGTGTAAAAGAAGCACTGAGCTGCTTTATTGTTGGATGGACTGTGATGTTGTTCTGAGTAAGCATGACAAACTCACTCAGATCACAGTTTACATCAGCAAGAGCTTAGTATTGATTTTTTTACTTAAAGATCTACGAATCTACAGATTTCAGCTAGTTAAAGGGCTAAACACATTAAATAAGGTTGAGATAGCAACTACAAAACAAAGCAGTTAATGAAAACAGCAGCAAAAAACTGCAACCTACAGTAGAGTCTAGGTCTTATTGATTTTTTAAACCCTCTACAAAGAACACATGTATTTAATGCACAATTACTGTTTATTTGCTGAATTTAATATTTTGGGAATACAAAAATAAAAAAATGTGGCCTGTGCTGAAGTTATGGCAAATATTTTATATATATATATGTATATATATATATATATATATATAATATATATATATATAATTCGAAAACTCCACAAATTAATAGAAATTGAAGAAAGTAGAAAAATGTCATATTGAAGTGTGTTCTCTATAGAGGAATGTGTACATGAAACTTGTTTTCACATAGAAAATCAACAAAAATGTGTTTACACTTTTGCATATGTTAAATACACATTACGCTATTGTATATTTTTAGATGTTATCTGGCAAAAATATATTGAAAAAAATAACAGTTAAGTCATTTTTCTATCCAAATTTCTGTGCTATTTTGATCGTGTCCAGTTCCACCCCTTGGCCAGGTCTCCTCCATCACCATAGTGTCAAATCCTCATTCTGATGTGCTGCACTGACCACAGATACAACACTGATGCTTCTTTTGCAGCAGTTGAACATGCACATACATAAATAATAATACATACTATAATATTTTATAATAAATAACTTTTTTATTCTAATTGTAATTACAGATTAAATACTTCTATGAGTTGGATAGGTTTTCCTTTCCTTTCCTGGGAAGTGGTAACAGAAGAATCATCAGAAGATGAAGACAGAACGGGATGAACTGTAAGAGTCAGGATAAAAAAGGACCTCTTTTTTTTGGAATGTCTGAATAGTGGTGAATGGTGGATTATGAGGTTTAAGGTTTTGAGTTAATTCAGTTTTAATTGTATTGGCGTATAACAAATGTCTCAGAATGTCTTAAACCTCGAAATGCGCGTCTACCCCTCAAAAGAGTGACACCAAGGGAGATGAGGGAGCACAAGGAAGAACTACTGAGCAAAACTAAGACCCTGACTTTGACCGGTTTTCTCACCATTAGAGGTGAAATCTGATCACTCAGTCTAAAAATTTGACTCCCTGCAGTGTGAACAATGCCTAAAATGCTCCACACCACCCCGCACTGCTTACTAATTACCCAGTTGATCCTTATTCATTTGTTATTCATTATTTAGTAAGTATATAGTATACTTGTACATAGTATATTCTCTCTGGTTTGTTTGTGAAAGCTTCCTAATACATCCCTGGAATTCTAAGCCAGGTGTTTTGTTTCAGTGATAACTTTTGGACATAATTCTTAGTTATGGATTTTGATTGTGAATTTGCCTAGCAGAGCTTTCCTGCTTGTGCTGACTGTTTAATGAAAAAGCCAAAATAAGGCTGCTGCCTCTCACTCTTCTATGTTACACATTCTCATTGAGTATTTAAATAAAACTGGTATTTTTGTAATATTATTGCTGTCCTAATTATTATGAACCACAAATGTGTAGAAGGTTCAAGTTATAAATACATGCATTTAAAGTTTGGAATTCTTACAGTTTCTAGGGAACTTCAAGACATTACTGAGATGCACATGTAGCAGATGATTCCCACTTTATTCACTTATTTCACATTTATGCCATAAACATTACTTACTTTGAGCTTCACTCAGGTTAGGGTGTTCCTGTGACCAGAATGTGATAATTACATACACAACCAAACACAGCATAGCTTTAATCTTTAATAAAGGGTCATTTATTAATAAATTAATATTAACAGCAAGGTGAATAGGTATTAAAGGTAGATTAATAGGTATGCAGAGAGAAACTAGAGATATGAGGTTCACTGTATGAACATACTGTGCTGAGACTCGTAAATAGCTATTTGGTGGGAGTTTAGTAGTACTAATGGAATAGGGTAATGACTGATCTGGGTTTAACTGAAAAAGGGGACAGAATAACACAGTACTGGGTCTGAATCATATGGAGAAGTTGGTTGCCTTACTGTGGGCCTGCAGGCTGGTTAGAGGATGGTCCTTGGGTCACAGTGAAGCCCCCCGGGCCCCCAGAAGCAACACAAAAACCAGCCTGGACGAATGAGCACGGTGAACCAATTCATAAAAAAGGCTCACAAGATTTCACAATGAGCTATCGTTGGCCAATCAAAACCTGCAAAATGATTACTGTGCGAGTGAAGAATAAATGAAATAAAGAACTCAGTAAATACATAATAAACATAATAAAATAAATAATTCAGATTTAGGGTACAAAATATGAGCTCTTCTTTTAAATCGTTCTCTGTTTCTGTGTATATCAGGCCCTCCCCCGGGTGGAGCTAAGGTGGGGCAAAACAGGTTTCACGCTTAAATTCCTAATGAATATGCAATTTCTTTGTTTGAGTTTCTGCTCAAATTCACCATAAAATGACTTCATATACATTGATTTTATGATTTTATAATAACATTATAAGCATTGTTACTGTTTTTTTGTCTAAATACCTACCTGGGCTAAGTACCATACCGGTCACCCCTCTACAAAGGTGTGACAAAGCGCTGCTGTTTGCCACGGCCTTAAGTAGAGGAGTCCACAGGTGTGCCAGGTTGGGCCTAATTAGCCCGAGGGCTTCTGGGAATTGGAATTCCCTGAACTTGTGGCACATCGCCACCATCGCTCTCTGCTGGTGGCACAGGCTGGACCATTACAGAAATGTCAGGTTTATTGTAAACAACATCCAGGTGTCTTTCATGTGCTTGAATTATATCTGTGGTAAGAAAACTCTTTATCCTCCACTTCCACTAAACATGACCTGGTCACCAGGTAGAAACGATTGTATGATTTCTCTATTTTTGGAAGGACTCTGAAACGTGTTCAGAATCTAATTCTGAATGATACTGATGCTGTGTCCCACCACCCAAGAGCTGCTGAGGAGTGTCGTTACTGTGCCCACCTTGAAGAGAAAGTGGAGAAGAGCACGGCTGCAGCTGCCACCACTGCCACCGGTCTTGATGTGGTGAGCCCCGAGGAGTTCCTTCAGGCCCGAGAGGAAGATGCCTAACTCTTCCAGTTGCCAGGTGGGGCGAAAACCGGACTGGACAGATGTGATGTCATACAGTCCCACCACTAAGGCACGTGTGCCAGCTTGGACAGCCTTCAGATGCATGGCAAACTGCTGTAGTGTATGTGAGAAGAACCGGTGCCCAGGAAGTGTGTGGCTGTTGCTGGTGCCGTACAGTTTGTGGAAGACGGTGCTAAGTGCGGTACATGGCACAGCTGGCTTGGGTTTTGTGTATGTTGTGTTTTTCAGGACAACAACATTGAAAAACACAGAGAAGTTGCTATGTATTGCATGGTCAGTATATCTCAGAGAATAAGAACAAGACCGTTTCAAAGAATATTTGGTAGGAAAACTAAATCACAATGACTTTGCATCTTTTTTATGTTGAGCTCAAAGTGCACTTTATTTGTTGTGTTTACTTTTCTTTAAAATGCATGACAAATATGATGATATTGAAACTGAAATCTTGAGTCTGAAATTTTCTCTATCAGCATGAAAAAAGTGGAGAAAAAAGTGGAGGTCTTAGAGGGGAGGTTATGAAGATCACAGTCAACAAAGTGCCAGAGCATCTGTGCATGTGTCCTCAGTCTGAGCTAACAAAGGTAACTGAGGCATACCTTTGAGGTTTTTCCTTAAGGTTGCACCTTAACTTGAGTGGACTGAAAGCTAAAAGTAACATCTACAAGTAAGACTTTAATGTACAGATTTACTGTGAAATGTCGGAATTTCACAGTGAAATTGTCACTGGTTTTATTATGTACCTTCACCCAGGCTTTTTTCTAACGAAAGGTAAACACTGCTTTTTCCAGCATGTCCAGGGTACTGCTGGGGGCAAAAGGCCTTTACAAGACTGAGAAGTGACAGTGAGATAGTTAAGATTACTGAGCTAATTAAAACTAGCAGTGTTCAGGAAAAAAAAGTTGCCGAGTGTAGCCTGTATTTTTGTGTAAACATACATATATACAAACAACCTAACTTAACTGAGATGCCATTATTACTAAAAAAGGGTAAGGTAACAATTTGCATGGACATTTTTGAGTGCAACACAAACAAAAAATGATGTTATACCAAATTAATTCATTAGAACCTAATTGAGTTTTATAATATTCACCAAAATCAAGTTGGTGGAAAATTAATTTATTTGTGTCAGTGAAACTAAACAATTAAATTGACATTCAGCAGGTTCAAATTATTTTAGCTTTCTAATTTTTAAGATTTTCATATTGATAGTATGTAATTTTATGTAATAGTAAGTATTAATAGCATATGATCTAGTGAAGTTAGTTTAGTTAATTCTAGCTGATACAACTTTAAAAGAATGCATGCAAATTGTTACCTTCATTTTTTTAAGTATATATTATAATATTTTTTAGATTCAGCATGTCTTTTTGTAGTTTTTGTTTTTTTTCTTCTTTTTTTTCATGTTTATTCTTGACGCTTATTTTGTTCTATATAAAACCAAATTTTTTCTCTCTGCTGCCCCAAACAATCAAGGGTCCTGGATCTATTATGGGTTCCAGGTATTGGAGAAGAATGAAGAGGGTGTGAACGAGACCAGCACTTCCACATGTGCTCTCAAGGGCGATCTCACCACAGTCTTCCTTCATCGTCTTTATTGTGGGGTTGACCACAAACGCCATGGCCATCTGGGTGTTCCTCTTCGGGATGAAGAAGAAGCATCCAGCATCCATCCTAATGGCCAATCTAGCACTGGCTGACCTGCTCTTCATCGTGTGGCTCCCACTGAAGATCACCTACCACTTCAACGGCAATGACTGGACCTTCGGGGAGCCACTGTGTAAAGTCCTAGTGGGGTTTTTCTATGGGAATATGTACTGCTCCACTATCTTCATAGCATGCATCAGTGTCCAGCGCTACTGGACTGTAGTGCATCAACTGAGTAACCATGTAACAGTGTGTGTATGTGTTTGTGTGCCCACACTCAGAGTAGAAACTGCAGCTCTGACTCCGCCCACACAGAGCGCTACTTGCTAATCCAGCGTCAAGCAAATAATGACCTTGCACAGCTCTAACCAACTTGTACTACTTGATCATTTATGACGAGCTTGCTAGCTGGGTAGCTATGCTATCTGGAAGAAAGAAATGTCTGGGAATCTTAATAGCAGAATTTCCAATAAGCACAGAGTGTGTTATTATAATTATTGTATATATGGTACATCTACATAATGTTGAACTGAGTTGTTGTTGTACACGTAGTATATTTACATTATGATGCACTGAGCTGTTGTCAGTATTTCTATATTGCTCTGAACAGAACTGTGTCAGACTGAGAGACTGTGGCTGAAATGGACGCCTACACCCTCATTAGTGTTGTGCTATGTAGGGTGGAGGTGCTGGTAGAATGCAAAATGTATTGCTGTTGGCATCTTAAACTACTTTATTTTAATTATCATTTAATGAATCAATCATCTCAATTGAAGAGTCTTTACGTAAGCCAAAAATCATCCTAATCTTCTTAGAGTCTAGGAGAACTATTTACTTTACTTAATAGCAGTAAAAACTCATAAATCAATAAATGAATTTGGACATGTTCTCATCATCAGTCTGGGTCAGTATTCTATCAGTGGCCTAAACAAACAAACGCAAGTTGCTTGCAAGGCTGACGTTGACTTTTTTCATAGCCGTGGACATGGATGTAAAGTTTTGAAGAGTGCAGAGGATGAGGAAAAAGTAAAAACTTGAATAGAGTAAATGTTTGATTCTTGGTCCATGACTGCAGTGGGCTGTAGTTACCCATCAGTATTGTATGATGAGTGTTAGGCTCTTTGTTTTTAATTGTAGTCGGCTGTTTTGTAGTGTTTTTCCAGAGAATTGAGAAAGTCTGAAAAGTTTTCGGCTCAGTGGCCTCCATTAACATAACATACCTCTCACTGTTATTTAATTAAAAGCGATTCACAATGCACTCTGGTGCTCATCCAGCTGATGTAGTGACCCACAGTGTTCACTAGAAATTACCAGTGCATTGTGCGAGATTTAGTGCCCTCAAAATCACTCTGGAATTCCATTTTATGATTTAAACACTAAGAGATAATGGCAGACGTACTTAATAGTGCTCTAAAGCACAGAGATCCATTTCAGTCACAGCCATCATGTCATTCTGAAAGTATTTTTTCCCCCTTTCTCTTCCTCATTGTGTAAGTTTGTTTGTTGTTTGTTTAAATGTTCAGTTTACTTTACCTAGTCATTAAAAAACATAGCAAAGACGGACATATTACAATTAAACTTTACCATATCAATTAAGTAAAAAAAGTCTAACTAGTTGTAATCATTATGTATCCAGTTCCTTAAACATTTGTTCTTATTGTCAAGCCCACAAACGCACAGTAGGTAGCAGTGATGTCAATACAGTGCAGTGTCAGCCTTCATTGAAACTGCACTCTATTTGGGTCCAAGTTATATTGTTCTTGTTCATACTCTTAGTACGAGATGTCATGGATCTGCATACAGAACCCGCTCTCATTTCACCACGCTGTCCAGGTGTTTTTAAGAGAAAGAGAAAAGGAGAAGTGAAAGGTAGTCTGGATTAGAACTGAACTATTTTACTCTGATGTTTCTCTCTAAAACCTGTGAAAGTGACACATTCTGTGTTACATTAACTCCAGGCTGAAGGGAAAGAGGTGATTTAGAAGGTGCAGCAGTTTTTATTAATGTCTCAGTTTGACAGGCAGGTTTATTCATTTCCCCATAAACTCTCAGCTCAGGAGTGCTGGACTTTAGTCAGTTTGTTTAGGTGAGGTGAGAAAGTGTGTGGCTACTTTATATACATCTCGATGGAGGTTTGTATAAAGTAGTAGAATTATATTTTGTCATATATAACACAGGCCTAAATCATGCATCCTTAAACTGCTCCACACAAAAATAAATATTAAAATGTATATTACAATTGGACTGAACTAGCAAAGTTTTCATAAACTTCTATATAAATGTGTGTAATATATAGGAAAGTCAGTTCTCTTTGGAGTTGTTTTTCTGTCTTTAATATACAATTTCCCAATATAAAGCGTTATTTTCCAGTAATTCCTATTGACTTTTGTACATGCGCAGTGTGTCTACTGACGGGTATGTAAAGAGCACAAAGATCATGTGTAGTATAATGAAGAGGAAACAGAGATAACAACATTAACCTCTGTTGAAATCGTAGTATATTGGGTCCAGAGTTCAGTGTTAAAGATCTGTAAATCATTTAAAGATAGACACTGACAGTCTCTATAGTTTTCTCTGTTGTTTACACTGTAGTGAGAAATAAAATATATTTCATTTTAAAAGTATTTCATTTAGTCAGATTTGATCTGTTCTGATATGTATAGTTAATGATGAAGTATTTATTTACTTGATGTGACAAATGGAAGTGTGATGAAAATTAACAGCATCAGGCCTGTTTTATGTCTTATTGTTGTGCCAAGGTCAGTAAACAAACAGTAACAGTAGTAAATGGATTAAATTGTGTAGAAGTGTGTTCAGAGGATGTTTTAACCTATTTACACTTACATAGACTTACATTTACACAACATAGAATTTATTGGGTTACCCAAACTTTTGGCTGCATGAGTGCAGTGTGGAGACACTGAAGACTGCAATCTGATCTCTGTGTTAATGGCACACTGCATAAGAACAAACAAGCATTGAGAGCAGGATCATTACAGGACAGACGGAACTCTGTGGGGAATTTACTAGGCCTGAGATGATGCTTTCAGCTCAGAAAGGGAGAGAGAGAGAGAGAGAGTGAGAAAGAGAGAGAGAGAGAGAGAGAGAGAGAGAGAGAGCGAGCTTCAAAGCAGTAAACATCTGTGATGTGGCGTAAGGCATGCTTGAAGAGAAAATGAAAGTAAAAGAGTGAAGAAAAGCTGTGCAGATATTCGCCTTCATCGCATGGTCATTATAATCTTATCTGGTACAGGAACCCAAAAACAGAAACATTATTCTACACTGATTTTATCAACATCCACAGAACCTTCAGACAGGAGTGATGCTGAGGCAAAAAAGAAAAGGTAAGAACTGCAAAATATCCACAGCTACAATCAGAGTGTCTAAATATTACTAACAAAACAAATAACTGGACTAAGCACATCGTAGCCATAGTTGTGGTTATGTTGTAGCTTTATGCACTCAGTTTCAGCCACTTACATAAACCTGCTAAAACTGATAAGGAAGTTCAATTGCGGTGAGATCAAATACAATTTATTCTAAAACACAGACCATTTCTGGGAAACACCGTGGCGTGTTCAACTGATATCTCAGTGGTCTGTTTCTGTTTGTAGACCACCTGGGAGAAAACAGCCAAAGCCTTTCATTTCTAGAGTGCATGAAGATTTAGAGAGCTTTATGAAATTAATTTATTTAGTTATTAACTCAGGTCATTTCTTTCAGAATGGAAAAAGCACCACACCAACGATTCTGGGCCGTTAGGGTGGGGACACCAGATCTGAAACAACGAAAAACAAATTTATGCAGAGAGCTCCTCCCAGCTAAGATAAAAATAATTGTTGGATATAATATGAATGTGCATTTTAAAAACATGAAAATTACTTCTCACTTGCTGTTGACTAGACCTTTACTTGCAAAGATGGATAATTAAGTTTAAAGTTAGGAAAAATAAGTTGAATTTAATGGATATTTAATTAAATGTAAATTAAAGGTAAGTATCTACAAATCTTCTGAAGTGTTCTATCCAAAAACTGAACTTTGTCACAGTTTATGATATTGTCAGGGTATTATATTAAGAAAAAAAGAAATAAAACACTACACATGTAAGATAATACATGTACATACATGTAGCGTTCTGAATGTCATTTTTTAATAGCAGCAACGTGTTTGGTTTTATGTTTTGGCTCTTTGTATAATGTATAATTTACATATAAAATAAAAAAAAAAATCAAGATTCCAGTCTAATTTCTGAAATCTTTGTTTTCTGTGTGTGTCTTATTGGGCATATATTTGGTTTCCCTTAATTTAATTTCAGCCTCACTTGAACATCCTTGGTAATTTAGATAGTAAATGTAATAAGAATGTATAGCATTATATTCTGTATCTTGAGCTCTGATAAAGCTCAGACCAATAATACACTAAAACAGCTGCTCAAACAATAAATAAAGCAAATATAGCTGCAAGTGTCAATCATAGGGGTCCAAGCACAGAGCAGTTAAATTAGGTTAAAATGTCGGACAGGGGCCTTTTCACAGACAAAGGATAAATGATAATATATTATTATTATTGACTCACAAAGATGATGCCAGACAAACATTTCTATTTCTGATATAATTTGTAATTGCAAAATTGTTCAGGTTAAAAAAACAATCACGTTAGACCTGTTATTTATCTGAAGGAAGAAGAAAATAATGCTATGTGCACTTTAGCACCTCAGAATCTTTTGACAAACAAGCAGTAGAGTTGGACCCCCTAAAACTTGAGCTGCTCAAAAAAATCTCTGGTAAAAATGCACCTTGTTTGACCATGTGTCCACAATTACACTATTGCGCATGTTGAATATACCTTATTACTGAATATCAGCACGTCTAATTAAAGTTGTTAAAGTTTGATGTATTGCATCCTATAGAACGAGGATCACTTTGTCAGTTAGCATGGAAATGGCATATTCCCACTTCTCTAGTGCAGGAACAGCTCAGACTCTTACTATAAACAATAGATTATTATGTGCATGGTATATGGCTGCTGCATAATTATTCAGCCACCCTTTACCCTATCCATCAGTGGAAAGAGACCACAACAGGTCCACTGCTGACCAGATATTATTTGGGAGGTGGACAATTCTCTGGTCTCAGTAGTGACTATGATTAGGTAGTGAGATGGTAGTGTATGTGGCGCTGGTGTAAGTGTGATGTAAGTACACTAGCAACATCCTAGTATCCATGCATGATACCATAACAAATACCTAGCAACATCCTAGCAACCACCTGGGATATGATTCCACGATCTACCAACACCCTAGCAACCACCAGAGATACCATAGGAAAAACATAGCAACATCCTAGAAACTACTTTGGATACCACAGAATTCACCTACTGAATCTAGGAACCACCAGCGATGGCATAACAACTGGTTAGCAATCACCTAGGTTACCTTAGCAACAATGTAACACCATAGCATCCCCATTGCAATTACCTGGAATAGCATAGCAACACCCTGGCAACCATTGGAACCATTGTACTTCCACTAACTGGTCACTTTATTGGATCCCTCTAGCGTGTGCTTCCACTCACTGGCCACTTTATTAGAAACACCCACCTTTTATTTCCACTCACTTGTCACTTTATTAGAAACACCTTCTATGCTGGTACATCTTGCTGGTTGACAATGAGTCCAGAGCTCATTTTTTTCCTTGTCACTATATGTTATGCAGCTGGAATTTAAAGACATGCAGTTATTTTGGTACGCACTGTGCCCATGTCCTTTCTTCCCAACACTACAACACTTTCTCCACTAAATATACTGTGGTTCAAGAACTGCAATATACCATATTGTGACTTGAACTTAGGCAGCCTGTCACTGACTGCAGTTATCACATGTTCAGACCCACCATTTCGAGGCTATGTTTATTTTTTTGTCTTCTCAAAAATTGAACCATGTTAAACAATGACTATCTATTGTTCTTCCCCACAGATTGATTCCCACCACCGCATACCTGTGCTGATCACTGACCAACAGCAGGCAATCAAATTTCTGAAACAATGTCAACAAAGCCTGAGAAGAATAATGCCTCTACGATGAGTGACACAGAGGATGCTGACATTCAAAGGTCTGGCTGAGTGACCTTTAGGAATCCATAGCCATATAGATGTGTCTCAGTCTTGCTGTGTGCATATTCATATGTTCAATGAAAATAAGTATCCAAGTAATTGAGACTGATCAAGAATCAAGGGGTGTACCTGCGTACAACTGTGCATAGTTATTGCAGAATATTCATATAACATTACCAATCTATAATCAGCTGATATCAGAGTTTATTCAAAGCTTGAAGACAGAGATAAAAGCCTTGAAAATCTCAACTATGGTCCCTGGCATTTTTGGCAGATGCACTCACACAAAGTATAGCTACTGTATGTAGCCTTAGCCTGCATTCCAACTTGTCAATAGATATGGCAAAACAGTAGCCTATATAGTTCAAAATTATTTTGACTAATACTTTGTAAGTACAGGTAATGAAATTAACACAAAATACTGTCTGAGGCCTAAATGTGAATGGGAAGGTGTTTGCTGTAGCGAACAGGTCTTTCAAATTAGAAATTAGGCTGTGCTGCATCACAGACTTTGCAAGTGCTCATGCACAGTACATTTATTGACTATGATATTTTAATGTTAAGATCTTACATGACCAAGCACTTCCAAATTGTTGCTGCAAATGGGACATTTTGTGAATGTATAAGAGTGTATTGTGGTGTTCCACAAGGTTCTGTTTTAGGCCCTTGACTGTTATTTACAGACCTAAATTATTATTATTATTATTGTTGTTGTTGTTGTTGTTGTTAATAACAACAACAACAACAAAACAACAACAATAATAATAATAATAATAATAATAATTATTATTATTATTATTATTATTATTATTATTATCATCATCTCCAAAACCAAGAACAGGTTAAAAGGCTGAAACTGACTCAGCTATTGTTAGGTTATAGAAGAGTGTAATAAAACATATATTCATTTTTCACGGTGACTCAAGCAGATGCCAGTGATCGCTTGATTTTGCAAAGACACCTGCAAACTTTCAGGACAGTGTTAATGATTTTGATGTGAGCAGAAACTATTGAGGGTTCTATTGGTGAATGAAAACAAAAAGCATTCTACTCTGGACTGTCAAGATAGGACTGTTCAATCATTTCACAATTAGGTTCATCACCTAAAACCTTTTTTTCTCTTCTCAGCTGTGTGTCCATGAAGAGTGACCAATCAAAAGACCCTCCCCACAATTTCATAGAGGAAAAAATACCCAAAGATGAAAGGTATATAAATGGTTTTCACCAATCTCACCCTGAGGTGCATGACTTCAGCTCATGATTTACATACTCCAGTTCTCATGGGCCAAAGCAATGCCACATTCAGTGTTCTGCCCTTTTAAACACTCCTTACAAAAGACTGATCTTTTATATTTATCATGTACTAATAAAAGACTGGTCTGACATTTAGTAAGTAAGTAAGTAAGTAAGTAAGTTTATTTATATAGCGCTTTTTACAACAGGTGTTGTCACAAAGCAGCTTTACAAAGAAATCAGCATTACAGAAAGAAATCTGGGTCCAAGCCCCCATGAGCGTCGCCAGTGGCGACAGTGGCAAGGAAAAACTCCCTAAGAGAAACAGGAAGAAACCTTGAGAGGAACCAGGGCTCAGAAGGGGAACCCATCCTCCTCTGGTCGACACCGGATAGTAAACATTGTTAGTATAAAGTATTATAGTACAAAAACAGGGTAAAAGGTGGAGCAAACAATTCATTTGAATAGTTTAGTTCATGCAGCGGCAGCAGCAGCAGCAGCATCAGTGGGGTCAGGTTGTGGGGGTGAGGTTTGCACGGTTAGCAGTGGCACCCGATCAAGGCAGCAGAGGCAGCATCAGCATCAGGATGGACAGCTGTTCAACTCGGCAAAGGAAAGAGAGGAAAAACACAGTCAGTTCTGCAATGGGTGATTGATTAATTTGAATTATTTTGAATGATTGATTGGTTCAAGTGAATAATTTTGATTAGTTCATGTAGCAACAGCAGTAGTATCAGTGGGGTCAGGTTGTGAGGGTGAGGTTGGCACGGCGTTGTACAGCAGGAGGCTCAATGTTGGTAAGCCGGTCCAGAGGGCTGGCAAGCAGTGGCACCCGATCGAGGCAGAAAAGGCAGCAGCATCAGAACGCACAGGATGGGCAGCTGTTCAACTCAGCGAAGAAAAGAAAGGAAAACACACAGAGTCAGTTCTGTAATGGGTGACCGAGCACAAATGACAGTGTTAGCAGAGACTCTGGCAGGTATAGAACTGACAGGGAAAACTAATTACCAAAGGCTTGACTATACAAGTAAGTTTTTAGCTTAGACTTAAACACTGAGGCTGTGTCTGAGTCCCGAACATTAACAGGAAGACTATTCCAAAGCTGGGGGGCTTTGTATGAGAAAGCTCTCCCCCCTGACGTAACTTTATTAATTCTGGGTACTAATAGTGAGCAGCACCTTGTGATCTAAGTAGGCGTGATGGTTCATAGTGGGAGAGAAGTTCACTCAGGTACTGAGGGGCGAGTCTGTTTAGTGCTTTATAGGTCAGTAAGAGAATTTTATAATCAATGTGAAATTTTACTGGCAACCAGTGTAAGGCTGATAAAACTGGGCTGATATGGTCGAACTTTCTGGTTCTTGTAAGGACTCTGGCTGCAGCGTTCTGGACTAGCTGAAGCTTGTTAAGGCTTTTGCTGGGACATCCAGCCAGCAGGGCATTACAGTAGTCTAGCCTTGAAGTAATAAATGCATGAACTAACTTTTCTCCATCCTGTAGAGAGAATGCATTTCTCAATTTAGCAATATTGCGGAGATGCAGGAAGGCTGTTCTAATAATATTAGTTATATGTGCGTCGAAGGACAGATCAGGGTCTATAATGACACCAAGGCTTTTTACAGATGAGCTTGATGCAACTGAGAAATTGTTAAGTTTAAGTGTTAAATTAGACAGTTTGTTTCTAGCTGCTTTTGGACCAAGAAGCAGAACCTCTGTTTTATCTGAGTTTAGAAGGAGAAAGTTACTCAACATCCAGTCTTTTATGTCTTTTATACAGTCTTCAATCTTGCTAAGTTTAATTCTATCATCTGGGTCGCTTGCTAAATATAGTGTCATCGGCATAGCAGTGGAAGTTTATGCCGTGTTTACTGATAATGGTGCCTAGTGGTAGCATATATAATGTGAATAATACAGGTCCTAAAACAGAGCCTTGTGGAACACCATACTTTACTTTTGCTAGGACAGATGATTCATCGTTTATATTAACAAACTGATACCGATCAGTGAGGTAGGACCGGAACCAGGAAAGAGCTGTTCCTGTTACCCCTACAAGGTTTTCTAGTCTGTCAAGTAAGATAGCGTGGTCTATTGTGTCAAATGCTGCACTAAGATCGAGGAGGACTAACAGGGACACATGATCTTGGTCAGAAAATAATAATAGATCATTTACAATTTTTACTAGTGCTGTTTCTGTACTATGATGTGGCCTAAAACCAGATTGAAATTTCTCGTATATTTGATTCCTATGCAAATAGGAGCTTAATTGTTCTGCTACAACTTTTTCCAGGATCTTAGATATAAAGGGGAGATTTGAGATGGGTCTATAATTTGATAGTTCGCAGGGATCAAGGCTAGCTTTCTTAATTAGTGGTCTAATTACTGCTAGTTTAAGAGATTTTGGGATGTACCCAAGGCTAAGAGAAGAGTTTATTATTGACAGAATAGGCTTGGTTATTTCTGGCAGAATTTCCTTGAGTAAACCTGTAGGAATCGGATCTAGCATACAGGTAGATGATTTTGCGGAGGAGACTATTTTAAATAGTTCATTTTCTTGGAGTAAGGTAAACGATTCCAGCCTCTCTGCAGGAATTATAATATTTTCAAGGTTGAGGCTGGCATTATAAGGCAGCAGGTTTCTAGAGTTTAATTGCGTATTCTGTATTTTCTGCCTATTTTTTTCAATTTTGTCACTAAAGAAGTTCATAAAATCGTTGCTGCTATAGGCTAATGGCATCTGGGGTTCACTAACTGTTTTGTTCTCTGTTAATTTAGAGATTGTGCTGAAAAGTAATCTAGGATTATTCTTATTGTTTTCTATGAGAGAGGAGAGATAGGCTGAGCGTGCTGTAGCAAGTGCTCGTCTATAGTCTATAAGGCTTTCCTTCCAGGCGGACTGGAACACTTCTAGCTTAGTGAGGCGCCATTTTCACTCTAGTTGTTTGACAGTCTGTTTTAAAGCCCAAGTGTGGTCATTATACCAAGGGGCGTGTTTTTTCTGCCTTACTATTTTACTTTTTAGTGGGGCCACACTATCTAGAGTAGATCGAAAACTATCCTCTAAGAGCTTGGTCATAGCATCTAGCTCAGTAGGATTAGATGGACAGCTGAGAGAGGCTGATAATTTAGGAAGGTTTCTAATAAAGCTACCAGCTGTGGAGGGAGTTATTGTCCGCTTGACACAATAACATGGTGATGAAAGCACATTACCACTAAAGTGAATTTCGTATGAGATTAAGTAATGGTCAGAGACTGCTGTGCTCTGGGGGAGAATGGCTAAGTTATCTATGTCTACACCAAAAGTCAGTATTAAGTCTAGAGTGTGGTTGTGGTAGTGTGTGGACCCCTTTATGATTTGGGTGAAACCTATGGAGTCTATGATAGATATAAATGCCTTACTTAGTGCATCCTGAGGATTGTCAAAGTGGATATTAAAATCTCCGACAACTATTATTTTATTTGAAAGTGTTATTAGACTTGATAGAAACTCAGAGAATTCCTATAAGAACTGAGAATTCGGCCCTGGCGGCCTGTAGACTGTAATTAGTGTAAAGGAATTTTTATGTGTTCCTTGATTACTTATATTAAGAAAAAGAACGAGAATTTATAGTCTACTTTCTGGCTCACGCCTAAAGCTTTAGTATGGATGGTTGCTATACCTCCACCTTGGCCGCTTAAACGAGGGCTGGGGGGTATGGCTTAATTTAGACTAAAGTAGTCATCGGGTCTAATCCACGTTTCTGTGAGGCACAGAGCATCAAAACTGTGATCGGTAATAATTTCGTTTACAACGACGGCTTTAGGAGTAAGGGATCTTATATTAAGCAGTCCTAGTTTTAGACCAAAGGTGCTGTCACTGCACTCTGGTATAACTGGTTTGATATTAATCAAGTTACTGAAGCAAACTTTTCGAGGCTTTTTGATGTTTTGTTTTATTCGGGGAACAGACACAGTCTCTATCGGGAGGAACCTATGAGCATTTAAATTTATAGAATGAGTATGAGTTACCCTATTTACAGTATAAACCCTATTTACAGTATAATTTAAGAACTCAAAACAAAGTTTTACAGTGTGGATGAGCTGAACATTTACAGTGAAACATCATTTTTGTACTTTGAAGCTATAAAATAACTTTGCAGTTGAGGACAATACTTTTCTCTCCATCATGTGATTCCTGGTAAAACAATGACTGAGGAACAAAGTCTTGACGTACAGCAACAGGTGACATTCTCAATAAAAGCAGTGTTGCTGTTAGAATAGGACTGCTATCAACAGCCTGTATCTACAGCCTACTACCAGTAGTTATAGTGACATGCATAACACTTTAAGCAAGACTATATAAGTAATATAATGCCATAATGCATTAGAATATCTGTTCATAAGAATATTGTAAATATGAAATGTTGTAATGCACTATAACACACTATAACAAGGTTTTGGCATATTTCCTGCATCACAACAGACCCAGGCATACAGTCAGATTTTATTAAGTGTTATGTACGTACCTGCAGGCAATTATACAAGCTTATGCCAGGTATTATGTATGCTATATAACGGTTGTTATTTATGACACATTGTGAATGGTGAAGTGTTAACGAATGGTTCACTAAATCTAATATACCATGTTTTCCCACTTATTCCAGATGTATTGTTACGAAAGACTATTTAATGAAAATTTTTTCAGCTGTCAGACTTCAATTATATTAGACCACTGTCCTTGTTTAAGAGGTACATTCTATACACCATACTCTATAATTGGGATATAGGGGAAAGGGGTCAAATTGAATTTTTAAGTGAATAATTAAGATTTCAAAAAACCTAGTAATTCTTTTTATTTTTATATTTTAAAGTATGTGCCTCTAATGAGTGAATCTGTAATTGAACGCATCTATATATATATTTTATACTTTTATATATCATTTGATACAACCCTGTTTCCAAAAAAGTTGAGAAGCTGTGCAAAATGCAAATAAAAACAGAATGCAATGATGTGTGAATCATATATACCCAATATTTAATTAAACAAAGACAACATAACACATTTTGAGAGTGAGAACTTTTTTTGTTTTTTGAAAAACATATGCCCATTCAAAAAAAGTTGGGACAGGGGCAACAAAAGACTAGTAAAATTGTGCAATTCTAAAAAAAAACACCTGGTGGAACATTTCACAACCAATTAAGTTAACATGATTGGGTATAAAAGGAGCACCTCAGAGAGAGTCTTTCAGAGGTAAAGATGGGGAGGGGTTCACCACTCTGTGATTGTGCAGGCAAATCCAAAAATAAATCTTTTCTCAATTTAAAATATTTCATCATCTACGGTACATATTAGCATTACAGGATTCAGAGAATCTGGAGAAATCTCTGTATGTAAGGTACAAGGCCAAAAACAATATTGTCTAACTGTGATCTTCAGGCCCTCAGGCAGCACTGCATTAAAAACAGACATAATTCTGTAGTGGAAATCACTGCATGGGCTCAGGAACACTTCTGAAAACCACTGTCTGTGAAAACAGTTCATCACTGCATCCACAAATGCAAGTTAAAACACTAAAACACAAAGAAGAAACCAAATATAAACAGAATCCAGAAACGCTGCCACCTTCTCTGGGCCTGAGCTCATTTAAAATGTACTGAGGTGAAGTGGGAAAGTGTCCTGTGGTCCGACAAATCAAAATGTAAAATTCTTTTTGGAAATCATGGATGGAGTGCTGAACGATATATGCAGGTTTTGGAGCAACATATGCTGCCATTGAGACAATGTCTTTTTCAGGGAAGGCCTTAATTATTTGAGCAAGACGATGTCAAACCACATTCTGCATATATTACAGCAACATGGCTCTGTACTAAAAGAGTTTAGGTGCTAAACTGACCTGTCTGCAGTCCAGACCTGTCACCACTGAAAACATTTGGCACATTATGAAATGAAAAATATGACAAAGGAGACCCTGAACTGATGAGCAGCTGAAATCTTATCTCAAGCAAAAATAGGGAAACATTTCAACTGCAGCAGTGTCTCCTCAGTTCTCAAATGCTTACAGAGTGCTGTTAAAAGAAGAGGTGATGCAGCACAGTGGTGAACATGTCCCTGTCACAACTTTTTTTTAATGTGTTCCTGGCATCAAATTTTTAAAAATGGGCATATATTAAAATAATAATAATAATAATAATAATAATAATAATAATAATAATAAATAAATAAAATTGATCAGTTTCTACATTTGATATGTTGTTGTTCTACTATTTTCAACTAAATATAGGCTTTAAATCATTTGCACATTGTTGCATTCTGTTTTTATTTTCATTTTGCACAGCATCCCAACTTTTTTGTAAACAGGTTTGAATATTCAGATACGGATAGTGCTCATGAACTATGGTATCATTTACAGCGCTCCTATCTCTGCTCTGTAATTTTAACAGGAGACCAAGCTCACCTTCATCCAGCTGTGTGTCCTTGAAGAGTGACCAATCCAAAGACCCCCCTCACAACTTCAGAAATGAAGAATCACGTACTCAAGAAAGGTATTTCAGTTTTTGATGTATATAAGTTAACAGATTCATATCTTCTTATGCTGGATTTTAGCAGTGCAACTTAGTGTATTCAAAGGTACTGGAGCGCTGAAGGTGAATGGTTTATACTTGCTGTATTCATTCGTTCATATATTCATTCATTCATTCATTCATTATTACCTTAGAAGAAGAAAACTGGTTTGTGGCCAAATCCACATACTGAAAAACAATTGAGATCATATACAGAACGTACCAGAACAGGTTGAATTTTCACTTGTCCCTTACTTGTAATAACATTATTGCACTTTGCATTAAAGAGTTTAAATCTACTCCACCTTAGGAAGTCTGCAGCAAGAGCCCGAATGAAAATAGTTGACATTTTGTAAAGACGTCAGAGAGCCTGAGGCCCACAGACAAAACACAGAGGGAAGTGAGGAATCTATGAGGTTAGAGATGGTCATACTAAAACATTCAAAACCTGAAAACAAAATAAAACAATCCCTCTAATTTTATTTTAGGTTTCAAAACATGGTTTTTACGTGTACCTTCATGTAGGCTAATGCTATCAAAAATGTTTCTATATGTGGTTCAAATTAGGGCTGTAGTCAAGACCACCATTGTTGAATCCAACACAAGTCCAAGACCATGACTAGTCAAGATTGAATCAAGACCGAATGTAAGGGGGGCTGAGACCAAAACACAAAATGAGTTCTCTTCAAATCCAAGTCTTAATTAGTTGCCCTTCAGGTGCAAATTACTGGAAAATATAAAGGAGGGACTTTCACTCCACAAAGCAAAAAATGTATGTACAAATGTAGGGCTGTAGTACTTGAGTCCAACACACATCTGAGACAATTAAAAAACGTCTCAAGACTGGACTCGAGTACTACAGACCTATTTTTGTACATACGTTTTTGTTTTGTGGACAGGAAAGGTTAGTGAAATCAGATGGGTGGTGTTAGAAGAAGTTATTAATTGTTAAGACTTTTTTTAAATGATAGTTGGACTCTGTTTAGACCAGAAAATAAACATGATATGACCGAGACAAGCCCTGAGTCCAAGTCCAGGCACGAGTACTACGGCCCTAATCCAAACTGGCGACTCGATGGAAAGTGCAATGAATTCTATTTGACTTGTTGATCATTAAATACTCAGATTAATTAATCTTTTTTTTTAGTCTGATGAACGCAAATGACTTCCAAAAAAAGGCCAAGTTTTGAGCAGAACCGAAACTTGCTGAATTTCCTGAAGGAAAACAAATCACAGGAAAAACATTATTAGGAGTCAGGCTAACATGGTGTAGAAGTGTTAACAAATTTGAGTGACTCAAGTCAATATTCAGCTACAATATACTGCATCATGTATAGTGCTCTTATCTGTGCCCTGTATTGTGAACAGGAGATCAAGCTCACCGTTATCCAGCTCTGTGTCCATGAAGAGTGACCAGTCTAAGGACCCCCCTCACAACTTCAGAAATGAAGAAGCACCAGCTCAGGAGAGGTATTTCAAACCTTTATCTCATGTTCAAAAGGATGTTTTATATTAATACCTGTAAAATTTTATTGGTCAAACAATCACAAACAACTAACAACTGTAACATAATGTTCTTATTTTTTATCTCTTATGTATGATAGGTATATCATAGGAGTGCATGCTGTTCTCAGAAATGAATCGGTTGTACACAGAAATCAGACACATGTAATCAGTATTATTTTCTCCAGAGGCTGTATGTACATGACTTTAGTGAATAATTGCTTTGTCTGTCTGTAGAAACCATAAGGTTTGTTTTTTGTTGTTGCTGGCTGTGGAGCCTTAGCATGCCTGCAGAGTAGCTGTCATGTACAGTGGTATGCAAAAGTTTCCACACCCCTGGTCAAATTAAGTTTTATTGATTTTGTGAAAAATCATTTTGTGAAGTGAAAATAAGTTAACACATCCCTTACATATAGAAAATGGAATTGCAAACTTTATTGAACAACTTCTGATTAACATATTGGAAAAAATCTAAACTTAACATGTTAAATATATCATAACCTTTTGTACATACCTATTTTTTTTTCCCCAATATGTTAAATTCAGTAAATATACAGTAATTAATGACTCATTTAACAAGCTTTACTTGAGCAAATATATTGATGGAATGGCCTTAAGGGCATATAAAAAAAGTGTTGAAACGAGGGGTGGGGCACAGAGAGAGGAGACAGTTTGATAATCATTAATTCATTAATTATTCAAGATGCACAATTTAAATCATTCTAATCAAGCCACTTGCTGGCTTCCTAGAAGCTGGAGGCTGGTTTTAGCAGTGCTGTTAAGGAGTGTCTTATTCTTAAAACCAAGTGTTGAATGAAAATGTCAAGCTGTGAATCTGTTTTTGAATGTTTCTATACTGTATGGTGTTTACAGCGCTCCTATCTCTAATCTGTAATTGTGACAGGAGACCAAACTCCCCTTTATCCAGCTGTGTGTCCATGAAGAGTGACCAGTCCAAAGACCCCCCTCACAACTTCAGTGGTGAAGAATCATCTACTCAAGAAAGGTAATTCTGACTTTTCCATTGATCTCAAGTTCAGATGCAGGATTATATCTGATTTAATTAGTCAGATAAGTAGAATTCAGTTTTGATGTTAAAATATAATGTTAAAAGTTAAAATATTCCTATGTTAGATTTTTACAGTGCATCCAAAACCGCTCAAGCAGAGAAGCCAAATTATTTATGTTTGCTGTATTCATTCATTATTACTTTACAAGGAGCAGGCCTGGATCATCCAGTGGGTTTTATAAGGGCATCTAGGGGGGGTTATAGGGGCATCTAGGGGACCTCCTGTAATCAATTAGAACATCTAAACAGCTGTTTTGACTTGCAGTGAGAACTTCACTAGCGGCAAAGCAAAAAAACTGAAGATAATTTGATTTTGTGTTGTGGCCTGATGCTCTCCACATCTTTTCTAAACATCCATTTTATTTAATTTTTTTCCTTTAATCACCATTTAGCAACTGTTACATTAGGTGCCATTACTTCTGTCAAGCTTTCAGGTTTCTCAGCATTGAGCCAGCTTTCCTGTGAATGTACTTTGGATTTAAAGCTTCAGATATTCAAAATACGCCACTGTAAAGTGGGACCTGACAATTCAGCAGAATAAAGGACACCCATTTCATTGCCGTCGGGACAATTTAGCATTCAGAGTACAGATGTTAGAGTACAGATGATCACGTGCATCCCTGACCACCTCTGAAGGTGACCCGAGTTATTAGAACACAACACATCATCAACACGCATCAGACTCCTTTCACACCTGGTCTCAATGCTGTCCATTTATGATCAGATAACCCAGGACAGATATTAATGATAGGTGTGAATGGACTGTCTGGCTGAAGTGCATCAGTATCAGAAACTGACCAGATTGATAAATCAATATTAAGCAATCCAAGTTGGGGTTCATCCCTCACATCCTGCAAATCTGTCATATTATTTTTGGAATTACAGAATGTGGTTCTCGTCGTTGACTAAATGCATCTATGAATTTGATGGTGTTATATTTCAGGAGACCAGGCTCACCTAGAACCAGCTGTGTGTCCATGAAAAGTGACCAGTCAAAAGATCCACCTCACAACTTCAGAAATGAAGAATTACCTGCACAGGAAAGGTATTTCAAGCTTCATAACGAGCAGTTACTCTTAATATATAAAACTTTATTATATATATATATATATATATATATATATATATATATATATATATAGAATTTCACTTGCTAGTAGCATCTCCGAACACCAGTAAGCTATTCCAAGCTTTTCCAAGAAACAGGCCTAGTTACTGAACCAGAGAACATTCAAGCTATGGCATTTTAAACCATAGGTAGCAAGTAAATAAGATATCCTTGTATACGATAACATCCTCAGGGACATGTGCTTGCTATATAGGATGCACCTAGTCCCCCTTAAAATCCCAGGCTTATTACTAATACTAAGGCTTATTTTTCAGAATAAGTGAATCCTATGGCTCAATGAGACAACTGTCCATAACTTTATAGACCCATAATAATCAACTGGTGACAGACATTGTGGTTTGATGGCATACTTTAGCTTTCTTTAAATATAAACATGTCTGAATGCAGGAAAAATGACAAAAGCTGACTCAGAGTTTATTGCTCTGGGATTCACATTTTTCACTTGGTTTCCAACTTTTTGCACATTTTGCAAGTAATAAAAAGAAAGATTACATTACATGTCTTGCAGATTTTGCTGCTATCGACTCCTTTACATCAAATTAACTTAGTGATAAAAATGCTTTACATAATTTTAATAATTTATCAAATGAAAATGTTGACACTTTTCCACTGATATGTCATGTATCATGTATGTATCATGTACATCGCAAAACAGAAGTAGTCACCTCATTTTTTTAGAGTTGCAGAATGTGTTTCTAGTGGTTGAATGTGTTTTTAACTGAATACATCCATGAATCTGTCATTGACTAAATGCATCTATGCATATTATATTTCAGGAGACCAAGCTCACCTAGACCCAGTGGTGTGTCCATGAAGAGTGACCAGTCAAAAGACCCTCCTCACAACTTCAGAAATAAAGACTCACCAGCTAAAGAAAGGTATTTCATGCTTTTCCTCTGATTTCATTTACAGATCTCAGAGATCTATACACACTGCACTGTTTCATGCTTTACATGCACTTGAGTCTTATCATTTGTATCTGCTGAATCAGGTGAGTTACAGCAAGGAAAACATGAAACTTGCAGTGCAGATGGGAATAATGGACTGGAGTTGGGAAATAGATGGGTTTCCTGTTTACAAACATAACTGCGTCCATGCAGCCCATGCAGGGGGCAAAACTGCTTGGTAACTTAGCCGGTCACAAGATTTTAGTCAAATCAACTGTTGTAATCAATGTAAATTTTGCATTGTTAATAACATCTCATTGACTTAACAATCAAAATGCTGTTTCAGAGTTGGATCTGTTTGTCTTCTATTTGCATATTAATATAACAACATCATATAAACACAGCTAACAATAGTTCGCTATTCCTATCGGCTAGTCATCAGGTCTCTATGAACGCCCCACTAAGTTTGCTATTCGCTAAATGTTTAGTTAATAGAAGCTTTCCAAAATCACAAAAAACAAAAATATCTTAACATGTCATAGAAATTCCACCTAGCTTACCTGGTTTAGTTGTTTATTCAGCCTGTCTATCCACTCCTTATTTGACAATACCAGGAGCATGATGGTACCGTTGGTGTCGCTAAGCTAAGTAAACAGACAATTTAGTTGGCCAGTTAGTTAGGCTGTGACTTGCTGAACAAAAGCAATATTATTTAATTTAGCTATCATTGAAATGAATTATACGCAGTGCTAACTCATTACCTCACTAGTTAATGTTAGCAAACAGAAATGTACTCGTGTTCTGATGAAATGTGCTGTATATTTATAAGTAGAGCTCTACATAAAACTGTAGGTAGGATATTTTGATAGCCTTAGCCAAGTCGGCTTCTTATGAACCAGCTTCTTATTCAAATTTTCCCATTCCACCTTAAATCGCGCAGCAGTTACATTCTGGAGCCTCAAGCAGCTGCCCACCCTGGTACCATTTAAGGTGGAATGGGAAATATTGAACAAAAAGCTGGTGAATAGGAAGCTAACTTTATCCTCACCTCGTCTAAATCACATTGTTAGAAAATACTACCAGTATTACAACTACAGTTCAGATGTGTTGATGGCCAATCACCCTGACAAAAAAACACTACAATTGGATATGAAGTGGGCGCTGCATAGACTTTTGCTGCCTTTGAGACCATCAAAACCCCAGTCTGCCCTTTTGATGACCTGGACCCATAATCTTCCATGGAGTTTTGCAAAGGGATGCGATTGCCTTTGGCATATTAAATATTTTCCAACCATCTTCTTTGCAAGTTGTGTGATTTACTGAACAATGACTCCTTGTAATTGTCGCTTTCTGCCATAAAGAGTGCTGCTTTCTGTTGCTTCCTGCTCCCTAATTGCAAACACATCTCGCATTGCACTAAAACCCATCTATCCTGCCAGAGATCGTAAGAATGTAAGATTCTTCTTGGTGACTAAGAATTTCTGGATGTACATGCAAATAACTGTAGACCTAAATGTTGACTTGTAAAATTCGAGTTGACAATCTGGACGTAGCCCTTTGAGTGTCGTATATAGCAATAGAACTTGTGGCGAAACAAACCTGAGCTGGATAATGAGACCTAAACCTGCAGCCTTACTACTTGTTAGTGTAGATATAGGGTGTGTCCCAAAATCTAGTGAGCTCTCTAAGTAGCCGCTGTCTACATAGGCAGCTGTCTAAGTAGGCAGCGTTCCAACCGTCATCTATCCTTATAAGACAGATAAATGAGACGCTTTAGTTAGACAGCAGTGATGTCGCCGCTTGTTCCCACCCACTGCACAAGACCAGCATTTACTGACCTCAGCCGTCAGAATCACATTTAGCCAACATGGATCTGCTCTGGCTCTGGCGGGTCATACAGCGATTTTAATTGTATTTGCTTTGAATGAAACAGCAAAATAGACAATGGTTGTGGTCAAACGTGGAAATTAAAAGAATTCGAGCACTACTTGCTGGCTATTTGTTCACCTTTACGACTAGAAAACAGATAAAATAGCACAGAAAATCAGAATAACTTACATTTGAAGATGACGTCACTGCTTGGCGAAGCACTTCTGCCCGCCATTTTCAAACAAAAGTTGCGCCGCGTTGCATCGCGGGATTGCCGATGGTCCTGAACTTCCGTACTTCCAAGTTCCGCCTTTTGCGTTCCGTCAACATCACATTATAAATGAAAATTTAAAAAATTGATTTTTTACATTTTTACATCGATTCAGAATCGTACACATCCGCATCACAATGTATCTAAGAATCGATCTTTTTCTCTATGAAAAGTTATTTATGTAATAAATGCTCTACAGGAAGAGACGAGGCTCATCCAGACCCAGTTGTGCGTTCATGAAGAGTGACAAGTCTAAAGACCCCCCTCACAACTTCAGAGAAGAATTACCCACAGAGGAACAGTATGTCACACTTTTCATCTCTTTTTTTGATTAGCATTTCTTAACATAATGGAAAAAAAAATCCTGTAGTGTCTAAATAACAGACCAACAGAAGACTGACAATTATATAAATACATTTTACTGCGTTTACATTTAGTTAATTCAGGTTTCTTGAAGATTAATTACAGTAGTTTTGAAAATGTGTGCATAATTGAGTGTGTGAGATGTAAACAGAGAGATTCAGCCACAAAATGCAGCCACAGAGGAAAATTCATAGGGTTCTTTCTGTCGGGCTACTTTCAAAATTTACCCCAGCTGTCAAAATTTAGAGGTCACCTCATTAAGTCCACTTCCTTGTTTCTACACTCACTGTCCATCTTATCAGCTCCATTGACCATATAGTTTCACTTTGTAGTTCTACAATTACAGACTGTAGTCCATCTGTTTCTCTGCATACTTTGTTAGCCCCTGTTAGCCCTCCTTCCAGCAACACTGCTGTGTCTCATCTACTTATACCAGCACAACACACTAAAACAACAACAACACTATGTCAGTGTTACTGCGGTGCTGAGAACGATCCACTATCCAAATAATACCTGCTCTGTGGGGGTTCTGAACACTGAAGAACGGGGGAACAAAGTATGCAGAGAAACAGATGAACTACAGAACAAATAAGATGATTAAAAAAAATACTTGGTGCCATTTTGACATTGAAATCTTTAACTTGTTACATGTAAAGGCGAAAAAGCTTTGTACTACAGTGGATGCATGTTGAGGCTCTAATTGAGTTTCTAATTCCTAATTGAGTTACTTGTCTTAAACAGACAGTATTGTTAACTGTTTTTAAATGTAATTATTTCTGACTGCAGGGGTTTGCATGAAAAATTGGAGCCTAATTTACAGACTTTCGGTGACCAGGAAAGTTTTAAGAAGACCCCGGATCTTTGTCGCATCTTCTCTGTGAGACTTCTTTTGTATTTCATATTGGCATAACAAAGTAACAGATTTGCTTACTCACACTTATCACAGTGCTTTGTGTAGACAAGACTAAGCATGTTTAATGTAGACAAAACAAAATCCATACCAAAGTTACAAATTTAGATGTTTTGCTAAAGCCCATTACAAAACACATGGGAATTGTCTAGCTTGAAAATGGCAGGAACATACTAAACCTGACAAGGACGGAAGGATGGAAGAAATAATATCAGGACTAGTATGAAATGCAGTTCTATGGTTTTAATCAACAGTTAAATCCTAATGGAAAATTTAATAAAGATTTAGGAAGTACAGTCGTATGTATGACACCCATTGTTGATTTTCTATGTAAAAATTAAGTTAAAATATTTTCTAAAGATAACACACTTAAATATGGTACATATTTCTGCAATATGTAGTACACACATTTTGTTTAATTAAAAAATAGACCATACATTTATCCTCATTCTCATAATTTATTTCAAGGACCTGGAGAACAAAATAATTGTTTTCATCAAGCATGAGCTGGAGCGGTTCAGGAAGATTCTGACAAAAGAAAACACAAAATACTATGAAAAGCTGACAGATGACTGGTGCAGCGCTAAAGAGGGAGCTCTTAACCTTGCTTTGCACTTTTTGAAGAAGATGAAGCACGATAACATTGCTGATGCACTGGAGACAAGTAAGAGTTCTTTGATAGTAGTTTATGTGTATAGATGCAGTACAGTTTGTAAGTATTTGAACTGCCACCAAATGTTTTGTTTTGGCTCTGTACTCAGCACTCTGGTTTTGAAAATTAAAACTAATAGTAATATCTGGTGGGCCACAGACTTTAAGCGCTTGTTTCAAAGAAATTAAAACTACTTATAAAATTAAAAAGGAAAATCTATGATTATGTAAGTTGTGAATATTTACATACTTGTACAATATAGATGTAAAAATATTTAAAACAGTACTAATAGTAATGGCAATTTAATAATAGTAAATCTTAATTATGTAGCACATTTCATTTTAGCTACAAAATCTAAAAGTGCTTCACAGTAAAATTACAGACAGGAGAAAATAAGCCACAATACTTCTAAACTAGACAACTATGTTTGTAATCTAGATTTTCAAACATCTATTGAGCTTGCATTCCTTATATTCTCTGGAATGGTGTTTTTAAGTGGTTTAAATGTTATAAACAAGAACTTGTAGTCAATGTAGAACGTAACCGGAGTTATATGCTCAAACGTTTTCCTAGAAAGCACATGGGCTGCCGCATTCTGAGCTCGCTAGAGACAATTGAGAGTATAATGGAGTTATGACTGAAGTTAGCTGAAGTTTGAGAAAAGACCACGCCTAAAACTCCTCCTTCTCAATTCCAGCTTCCTATAAATACCAGTCCTTCACTCCTCCTTCTCGTGAAAAACTTTCACACCCCACCTCCTCCCCCTTCTCCTCCACCTTGTCCAAGCCTGCCTTTGATCTTTAATATAGGGGAGCTGGTCTTCTCATGACCCACTGAACTCCAACCCAAAAATCCCTCAGAGTTCCCCTCCTCTCATTATCTCATGTACCAAGGCGTGGTCTGCATTCGCAAATTGCAGTTTAACAGGAATCCATGCTTTTGTGTCTTTTAAAACAAGCTTTTGTTATATATAATTGTCACTGTATCTGGTAGTGCCTTAATGCAATATTAACTATTAATACCATAAAACTGAAAACTGAAAATTGTGTCCTAGGGGATGTAAATAAAGGAAAATCAGAAGGGGCCCAAAACAGAGCCTTGTGGGACACCGCACTACACACTTTTGTGTCCAGAAAATTACCCTTTTATGCTGACAAATTGGTAGCGCTCTATCCAGTATAACCAGGCAAGGCCTCTGTCTACACCAACAGGGTTTTCAAGCTTTTCTATAAAAATATCATTAGCAAATATATCAAAAGCTGCACTCAAATCCAGCAGTACCCGAAGAGAGACCTTTTTGCAATCTGAGGCAACCATTAAAACACTGCTCACCCAAGCAAGCCCTGCTTCTGTACTAAGATGTTTATTACCCAATGTGTTGGAGTACAGAACCTAAACAACAAGAACTCTCACTATTTATGAAATACACCGTACATACTTACATATTTCCAAAATGTAATGGATCTTTGACTTTTTTGCTCATCATTCTTAATGTTCTTGCTTTTTGTTGCTTAGATGAGCTGGTTGTCATTCGTCAGTGTGAACTCAAGTCCAATATGAAAAACAAGTATACACGTATATTTGAAGGAATAGCACAGAGAGGTGGTTCTAGTCTCCTAAACAAAATCTACACAGATCTCTACATCACAGAGGGTGTTAAGGCCAAAGATGAACCTGAGCTGAAAAAGATTGAGGCGGCATCCAAGAATCAGGAAACAACAGAGAATCCAAATTCAGTGCAATGACATGTTCAAACCGTTAAGTGAAGAAGACAAACCCATCAGAACTGTGATGACACAGGGCATTGCTGGTATTGGAAAATCAGTCTCTGTGCAGAAGTTCATTCTAGAATGGGCAGAAGGAACTGAAAATCAGAGAATTAAGTTCATCTTCCCACTTCCATTCAGAGAGCTGAATTTGAAGGAGGGAAAACACAGTCTGATGGATATTCTTAACCAGTTTTTCCCAGAGACGAAAGGACTGAGATTTCGGGAAAAGTACAAAGTCATGTTTGTCTTTGATGGTCTAGATGAATGCCGGCTCCCTCTAAATTTCAAGAAAAACGAGCTTTGCACTAATGAAACACAGAAAGCATCGTTAGATGTTCTGCTGACAAACCTCATCAAGGGAAATCTGCTGCCCTCTGCTCTGATCTGGATAACCACTAGACCAGCAGCTGCTGCTAAAATCCCTGCTGAGTTTATCGACCGGGTGACAGAGGTGCGCGGCTTCAATGATGAGCAGAAAGATGAATACTTCAGAAAGAGAATCAGTGATCAGGACCTGGCCAACAAAATAATTGATCACATCAGAGAATCAAGAAGTCTCCACATCATGTGCCACATCCCTGTCTTCTGTTGGATCTCAGCCACTGTACTCGAGCGACTTTTGGAAGGAACACAGAATGAAGACACTCCAAAAACACTGACACAAATGTACACACGATTTCTGATCTTCCAGACCATACAGAAAAATCAGAAGTATGATGAGCACACTGCTTCGGATGTACCCTGGGATAAAGATGGCATATTGGCCCTAGGAAAACTGGCTTTTCAGCACTTGGAGAAGAACAACCTGATCTTCTACAGCGAGGACCTGAGAGTGTGCGGTATTGAGATCAGTGAAACTTCAGTATACTCTGGAGTGTGCACACAAGAGACTGGGATGTTTCTGGGCACAGTGTACAGCTTTGTTCATCTGAGCATTCAGGAGTTTATTGCTGCTTTGTATGCATACATTTGTCTCAACAATGACAAGAAGAATGTCTTTTCCCACCAGAACACATCACAGGAAAATGGAAATGAGACCAGTGTTAGTTTGCTGAAGACTGCAGTCGACAAGGCTTTAGAGAGTGACAAAGGCCACCTGGACCTCTTCCTTCGCTTCCTTCTAGGTCTCTCACTGGAGACCAATCAGGTGCTCATACGAGGTTTGTTGACCCACACAGGAAGCAGCTCTGACAGCAACAAGGAAATAGTCCAGTACATTAAAGATAAGTTTGGGGAAAATCCATCTCCAGAGAGATCAATCAATCTCTTCTACTGTCTGAATGAACTGAATGACCGTTCTCTAGTGCAGGAAATGCAGAAGCAAATAAAAGATGGAACACTTTCTATGAGTGAACTCTCACCTGCACAGTGGTCAGCTCTGGTCTTTGTGTTGCTGACCAGATCAGAGGAGAAGCTGGAAGTTTTTGACCTGAAGAAGTTCATCGGATCAGATGAATGTCTTAAGAAACTGCTTCCAGTGGTCGAAACTTTTAAAACAGCTCTGTAAGTAAAACATAGTTTCCTGCTAATGAAAACATTTTAATAATACCGTGGTTGTACCATTATATGTCTTTTACAAATTACTATGTGTGTAGTAATAATAATAATAATAACAATAATAATAATAATAATAGTAATAATAAAAATAATAATAATAATAAATAAATAATAATAATAAAACTTTATTAACATAACAGTTTACACTTGCATGCTTTACACAGAAAAGTAAAAAAAAAACACTGGAAAGAAAAAAACACTACAATCTAAAGGAAAAGAATGCAAATAGCATGATTATAATACATTTCTATTATTCTCTGAGAGCTATTCTAGTCTTTATGAGCTCTATAAGAAAATGATCTTCCTCTAACTAAGCTGTAAGAGATCCTAGGAGTTTGGAGTGAGGCTGCCTCAGCTAAGTCAAGCGAACTGGACATGCTATAACAATTCACATCACTTCAAAACTTCACTTCAAATCAGTCAGTGTGGAACTGAACAGGAAGCCAGTGCAAACTTTTCCTGGTGAGAACATGGTTTGCTGCCCTTGTCATCCAGGCTTTAATGTCTTTAACACAATCTTCCACTATGTGGAATTGTGTGTTGCTGAAACTGGCTAAGCTGACATGTATGAGTGACTATCAACAGCACATAAGTGAAGTGCAACATTGTGTTTACATAATATGTATTCTAGGAAGAATAAAGGGAGAATAGTAAAGGCCCTAAAACAGAGTCTTGTGGGACATGATACTGTTCAGAAAACTCCCCAGTTTCATTGACACATTTGTAAACGCAGCAGTAAAAGGCTGCCAGTAAATAACTGACCACCAAAGTCAGCGATGACTCTGTGCTGTGATGTTTTTGAAAGCTTGACTTTAATAAATCATGTTTGTCATGAACATGGCTGTTGGCCAACAACTTTCTCCCAAATCTTAGATAGAAAGGAGTGTTGGACACTGTTAATGATTTAATGTTAAACTATATGAACATAATTATGGTATTTATGAACCAGTACCATCACTCTAAAAAATCTTGTTGCATTAACGTTTGGAAAAAAAAAAAACATTAAGAATTTTTTTTCTCTAGAACAGTAACCATTTTGGAGATATAAGATTTCTTTCTGACAGCAACAGTATGATGTGTACTACGTTAAGGCAAGTTCTGTGGTCAGGCCGTGAGAGTGGGCTTTTTCCCTAGACCTGATGCCAGACCAAACACTGCAAAACAGTTTAACAGTAAACCAGCTTAGGTTTATTTATGAGGTCTCAATGACAAAAGTATTACAAGTATTTACCAAAATAATGAACAAATAAAACAACCAAGAGTTTAAAGAACAGCTAAACCTGAAAACAAACTGCCTACTTATAACTACAAGAAAATGGAAAGCAAAAGAAATGGTGCTCATTCCCTACTTTCCCAAAATTCAGTTTCACAAAGTCTAAACAAAGCTTCCATACTCAATTGCATACTCATTGAGGGGTACTCAAGTCAGAGGGGAAAGAGCCCTGAATGTTTACCCAGATGTTGCCTTGCTGGGCTTTTACATATTGGTGAGTGCCCCAATATGGCCAATCACAGACCTGCACATAATGCAAAATAGACACAAAAAGAGAAACACACATAAAACGGCTGCACCAAGCATACAGAAGAAATATTACAACCAGTGCCATGAGAAATATAATAAAGTAAAATAAGTATAGATTTAGAATAACATTTTTGCAACCAGTGTTAACAGCAAAATAAATGAGAAAACCCATGAATCAATGTGGTTAATATTCTTTTTTGTTTTATGTGCCTCAGCAAAACCATTTTTCATGACTTTAGATGAAGTTTCTTGTGAAAGAAAGTGCCTTTAAGGTCAAATTATCATTTTATAGAACAATGAACACATAAATTGGTTTAAACTTTAGGACAAAAATAAGTCCCCTGACATATTATTTTTCTTCTAGGCTCAATGACTGTGTATTGACAGAGACCAGCTGCTCAGCTTTAGTTAAACCTCTAAGCTCAGAATCGTCAAAGCTGACTGAGCTGGACCTTAGTGACAATGCTCTACAGGACTCAGGACTAAACCTGCTCTCTGCTGGACTAAATAGCAAAAACTGTAAACTGGAGGAACTGAGGTGAGTTAGTATTTAACATAAAGTACAGAAACTAGTGACAACATCTTTTTAGGATTGTATCATAATTTACTTGTTGAATTTTTGTGCTGGCAACTTGACTTGAATGATACGGATCACAATATGTGAGGTTTATTTTAATCGGGCTGTGTTCAGTCAGCTGATTCTTCACTTCAGTTGGATTAATATGACTAGACATTACTTTTTACGTGGGTCCAATTAGTATTAATAAACTTTATGTTCACGACTGGCCAAGCACATGGGTTTTGATTATTTTGAGTACTTCAGAGAGTCAACTTTTTCAAAAAGAGATGGAGAACATAGTCGTCACATAATGCACCCATTTGAGGCAAATATTACATACATTTTTATACCCTATAACACCACCCTCAGGCTCCCTGCCTCCTCCTGAAATGCCTCATTCTATACTGTTTTCACCAGTCAAATTCAGCCAGCTGCTTCTGACATCAGCATCTTAAAATGGGCCTCGCGGCCCTTCTGTAAAAAACAACTGGGCCCTTCTGTCTGTTACCACATATAACACAATGTTTACATTTGAGGAGGCCTTCAGAAAGACTTTTTGGTGCTCTACCCATAAAAATTCACAGCTCACAAAGTTCACATGCAAGAGAGCCCACAATGTCCTCCCCACATGGTGCCATGAGGCAGAGTAGATACATACACCACATCAAACATGTGGTCCAGCATTCAGCTCACATATAGAGTGAACTGCCTGGAAATAACAGTGGCTAACTAATATGTAATTGACAGAAAAATTAGCCTGTTTCCCTTGAGCTCACTTTGGAGACTGGACATTCCATGTTGCCCACTTTACCCTTTACCTGAGCTAATAAACAATAAAAAATGTTATATGGCAACCTAACTAAACTACTAACTGAAGTGCTTGGAGCAGTCTGTTCAAACATTATATACATAAATGTGTAAACAGAAGTGTGAAATTATACTTGTCATGTTATTTTGTAGGCTTAATAACTGTAGCCTAACAAAGGAAAGCTGTCCAGTTATGGCTTCAATTTTCAGCTTAGAGCATTCCAAGTTGAAAAGCCTGGAACTGAGTAAAAACAATCTGCTGGATTCAGGAGTGCGGCATCTTACTGCTGGATTGGAGAAACCACAGGTTAAGCTCAAAACATTGAGGTGAGGAATCATTTGATACAAAGTTTAAATCCTCAAACATTTGTCACTGACCTCTGGTAAAGTGCCACAGTAGTAAGCAGGGATGAGTCATGAATTCCCAGTCAGTGAGGTCAACATGACTTTTTTGGTTTCTTATTTATTGACTGTGAAGTATCTTCCATTTTGAGTCAAAAAAGACAAGATAAGATTCCATTTTTTTTCAGGGAACATTTATTCAGCAAGTGAATGAATAATGTATATTACAATAGAACACACATTTTTGTCTTGAAATGATGCAGTTATTCATTTTTCTTTTTATTTTTGCTTTCTGCAGGCTGTGTGACTGCGGTATAACAGAGCAAGGCTGTGCTGCTTTGGTTTCAGCTCTAAAATTAAATTCCTCATCACACTTGATAGAGGTGGATCTGAGTGAGAATAAAGTTGGAGATGCAGGAGTGGAGAAGCTCTCTGAAATACTGAATAATTATAGTTGCAAACTGGAAAAACTGAAGTAAGCAATTTAATTAATATACATTGTACTATATATATATATATATATATATATATATATATATATATATATATATATATATATATAGTAAAAGTTAGTTAAAGGGGAATTTCATAGATTATCTACATTTAATGGCTGAGATGTACACAGAGTCATTCAGAGTGGTTTGGTGTAAAAAGGTTAATTGTAGAGACTCAGATTTCTTTAAAGTGCTGATGATAGAAATCAGGGGTCACCATAACTACAACTTGTGTAAAGCCATTTTATTTATTACCCAAAACTTCTGTGTTTTTATATGGAATGTTGATGGTGGTATAATAGTGGAAAATCTGAAAAAAAAAGTTCTCTTTGGGGACTATTTTGCCTCGGAACACCCTGCATGTAGCTCTCCACCATGAAAGGATTTTAAGGTCAAAATCTTCTATCTCAGAGCTCTTGTAAAACAAACCCTGAGGCATCAGTATTCATATTAGCATTCATAACCATTTCATGTACTGGCTTTCTGTGATGTAGCTTTTAGGGGCAATAACCCTGCTGGGTATCTATAGTTTCTAAAAACAACTGGAAAACTCATGACAGTGAGATTTTTGTTTTGTTGCCAGACTCAGCAAATGTTGCATCACAGAAAAAGGATATGCTGCTCTGGCTTCAGCTCTGAAATCAAACCGCTATTCATGCCTGATGGATTTGGATCTCAGAGAGAACGATCCTGGAGATACAGGAGTGAAGATGATCACTGATCCAAAATGTAAATTGAAGACACTGAGGTGAGCATGTAAGCATGTGTGTCATTTAGCCTGCTCACCTTTAGTAAATTGCAAACAGCCACTACTTGATAGCAAAACTGTGTTTGTGCAGCAGAAAAGCTAATAGGCACTCTTCTGTTTAAATGCCTGGAAATAGAAATATGGTTTAAAAGTGTTAATATCTAAAATTTTGTCTTTCTACAGGCTGTTGAAAAGTTCTGATGCAGAGGAAGCCTGTAAGTTTCTAACTGAAAGTGTACATACAAATCCCATACTGCAGAGAGAGCTGGATCTGAGTTGGAAAACACTAGAAGACTCAAGAGTGAAGCAGCTCTCTGCTCTACTGGCAGATTCACACTGCAGACTTCTGGAACTTAGGTTAATAGTTTTTTAGTTTGCATCATTTTTTAAAATATCTTTTGTGAGCTTTGTTTATCTTTTATAGTAGTTAGTATTTTTTATTTTTTATAGTAGCTGCATAATTTAGTGTATAAAAAATAAATTAATAATAATAATAATAATAATAATAATCATCATCATCATCATCATAATCATCGTCATCATAATTATTGTCATCTTTATTTTTAGATGTGTAGATGATTAGTTATGTAGCTCATTCTAGTGACAGAAAATTTCAGAAAAGCTAAAACATTATAGTTTATATGAAAAGTATAACTAATGAATTAACAATACAATTACAAAATCTGCCCTTTAATGTAACATACAGTTTTGCCCAGTACACTACACAATTTGTAATCTAAAACAATTCCACTCTCCATCTATGATTAATCTAAAGACTCCTTGGGGGTTGCAATGTGGTCCCAGAGGGGCCATGAGAGCGGTGCTACAAGACATATATTTTATCAAACACAGAGTAAGTAAATTTGCATATAAGCTCTGCTGAATGGATACACCTACAGGCTATGGAAGATAGCCAATTATGAATTTCGACTGGGTGAGCCCATTAGTGAGGGAGAGTCTTTATTGACTGCTGAACTTGAAGCATTTTTTCAGCGCCAGTGAAATGCAGGCCAAATAAGAGAGTAGACTTACTATTTCTTGTTAAATTTCTTGTTGTAATTTCTTAAATGTGTATAGTCGTGTAAGGGGGTCAGTAGGGCTTTAGGGGGGTGAGTTGGCAAAAAGGGGGCCGCAAAATATTTTAACCGCAAAAATGTTATAAACCCCTGATCAAAAGTAACCCTAGAGTAGAGCTTGAAATATGTTCAAAAACGTAATCTTATTAAGCAATGTTCTTTTACAAGATAGCAATATTCTTTTAAATCTAGCACTCTTTTTTTGCCTGGCATTCATTCTATACTTGGATATTTACTACATACATTGGCCTAAGAGAAGAACAATGTGGACCTTACTCAACATACCAATGAAATAAAAATAGCACAGCTGTGATACAAAGAAGTGTTTTGTTTGTTTTGTTTTTTACCTTCACAGTAATTATATTCTGTACAGTTGGAGAGCATTTCTTATGTTTATCTCTTTTTTTTCATCTTTTCAGACTGAATAAGAGTGGAGTTAATGAGGAAGGCTGTGCTGCTCTTGTGTCAGCTCTTTGTTTAAATCCTTCACACCTGAGAACACTGGATCTGAGTGGGAATAAAGTTGGTAAATCTGGAGCGGAGAAGATTGGCACTCTATTGGAGAATGCTAAATGTGAACTGCTGAAACTAGGGTGAGATAATAATGCAAATTACTAAGGAAATATGTTATAATTTTTCCTGGTCTTTACATCAAACAAAGTCTGATAATTTGGGCTTTGGAAAAAGTTGGAAATTAAACTGTAATGCAGAGCATTCACTGGTTTTGCTGGTAGTCACAACCAGATTTTGGATATATCATTAAATTTCCTTTGTTAAAATGATATTATTAGATTATATTATTAGATGGGTATCACATGGCTAATATTCTATTTATTGAATATTAGCCATGTAATACCCATAAATGTAGTATTGCTCTTTCTTTTATTCATTTCCATTTGAAAATTTGATTGCATGGGACAAAATTTCTGTTCTCATGACAGACTCAGTAACTGCAGTATAACAGAGGAAGGCTGTGCTGCTGTGGCATCGGCTGTGGAGAAAAATCCTACACATCTGAAAGAACTGGATCTGAGTGGGAATAAAATAGGAGGTTCTGGACTTGATCAACTCTCTGCTTTACTGAACAATCCAAACTGCATCCTAGACACACTGAGGTAAGTTATGTCCCTACTTGAACTCTCCTCCTAAAAGCTTGTTTATGGCCCACTCTTCTGCAATTAGTACAAATTTAATTCAATTTCAAAATGATCACATGATGACAGTGTTCACATGCACCTTAAAAAATGAAGAAACCACTTGGAATTACTTGTGGCCCAGAATATCTGATATATACAGTACTGTACAAAAGTTTTAGACACCTGAGCACATTAGATTGAAAACGTTTATCTGGATAGTAAGTGTTTATTTGCTTTAAAAAAACACTCATATGGCAATAAATACAAATAATTACTACAATAGCTAATGGTTTAATGTATATTAAATACATAAAAGAATTTAGCAATTTTATGTATGACTGAGGGCATCGAGGAGAAATCTGGAACTAACTGTTGTTCTACTTTTGTGGAAAAAAATCTTGTTACTTTTTGCTGTACATTTTTAATGTACACTCATATGCAATCATTTGAATAACACTGGTAAAATTACTTGCTTTGTTAATTTTTACATGAAAATAAGTTAACACATCCTCTACAGGGAACAAAATTATGCACAAATTTTATTTGTTAAATTTATCATATTGTGGACAAAAATCAAGTATAAAATATAAAGTATGCCATAACTTACATATCTAAGACTATTGCACAATACTTTGTGCCATTTCCCCACTACTTTCATTGCTGTTCCTTCTGTATATCTAGACACTGCAGATACCCTGAAATTAAGCCTTGTCATAAACAGCTATATGTATACATACTTTTGCAAAACATCATCATGCTATCAGTATATTCACATTATTAAGGAAATTCTGAATGTTCTCCATTTTCCTTTTTACTCCTAGGCTCAGTTACTGTCATATTGCAGGGGAAGGATATGCTGCTCTGGCTTCAGGTCTGAAATCAAACCCCTCATCACACCTCCAAGAGCTGGATCTCAGAGGGAACGATCCTGGAGATACAGGAGTGGAGCTGCTCACTAATCTACTAGAGGATCCAAACTGTAAACTGAAGACACTGAGGTGAGCATGTGATGATTTACTGGACCAATAAGAAAGTACACTGAATGGAGGTGAACACTTTTTCCATGACTAAGAAACAATAAACAGAGAAATAAAAATACATATTTATTTTTTTCACTCTGCTTGTAAGTGTTTCTAATGTGATATTACCATCTTTGTAGGTTGTTGAAACGTTCTGAAGCCGAAGACGCCTGTTCTTCTCTGACTCAAGTTCTAAATCTAAACCCCTTACTGCAAACAGAGCTGGATCTGAAAGGGAAAATACAAGGAGACACAAAAGTCAGGCAACTTTCTCTTCTGCTCGAAGATTCACACTGCAGACTGCAAAAACTTGGGTTAGTCGTTTGACTAGGTTTAACTAACATTTTTTTTTGCTTACAGGCAAAAGGTTAGCATATAGATTTTGTTAGACATATTGTCAATTAAATGTTGTCAACTAAAACTAAGCCATGTGCAAAATCTGATGACTATCATGGCTATTACAAGAAACTTGCAAACTAGTTATTCTATAAGCAAGACAGACATGTCATGAACCTAAATAAGAGTCACAAGAATAAAAAATGTAATAACTATATTTCTCTTCCTTTTCAAGGATTTCAGACTGCAGTATAACAGGGAATGGATATGCTGCTCTGGCTTTAGCTCTGAAATCCAACCCTTCATCACACCTGACAGAGCTGGATCTCAGAGGGAACGATCCTGGAGATACAGGCGTGAAGTTGCTCACTGATTTACAAAAAGATCCAAAATATAAACTGGAGACACTTAGGTGAGCAGTTCGTTAAGCAGGAAAAAACATCTTGAGTTTATTACATGAATATTAGTCTGAAGTAATACTGTTTGTCTTAGTTTTTAGGTATGTTTAATTTCTTAATAAAACATGATATATAATATATGAGGTGATGTGTAAAATATACATGCTTTAACAAAACAACAAAAGTTGTTTTGTTCTAAACCATACTGCAGCACAACATCAAATATTATTGATTTTAATAACTTACTCAACATGTAGCTCCTCAGCTGAAAGAAAAAGTATCAGAACTCATTATTCCTTATGGCTGACAAAAATAGGAAAATAAACACATTTCTTAGACCTTTAATGGGGAATTCCACCCAATATTTAGAGTGGGGAATAAAAAGGAAGTGAGACTGACTAGGAGATCCAAATATGATTTCACTAAAAAGCCTTTGCTTTAAGGCACACTATATGAAGATAGTAACACTGGGGTATTGCTTAGTTCCATATTCCATTTCTTAATTTATCCATATAACATTACCATCCCTATATGTGTATCCTTTAACCTAGACATATCTGCCAGCATTTTGGCTTGTTTTACGTTCAGAATAATATTTACAGTTTAATGCTACTTTAAATGCTTACAAAGCTACTCTTACTGTGGAATACAATTTGTTATCAATAAACACTTATTTGTCTGTACAGACTATTGACAAGTGATGATGCAGTAGAAGCCCATGCTTTCCTCTCTGAATCTTTAAAAAGAGAGCCCTTGCTTCTAACAGAGCTGAATCTGAGCTCAAAAAAACTAGGACCTACAGAACTGAAGCAACTCTCTGCTCTACTGATGGACTCTCACTGCAAATTAAAGACACTTAAGTAAGTTTTTTCATGATTATTTTTTAAAATTAGAATCTTAAAGTACGGTGATGATTTCTTACATTCTAATTTTGCAATGATGTAGGATAAATCCTGTAGCAATTTTCCTTCAGACCCTACATTCATTTAATGCATGAATTCATTTAATCATGGAGATATATGCTGTCTTAATTTGTCAAGAGCAGGGGTCTCAAACTTCATACATCCTGTCAAATATGTATAATTTGTCCTTAAAGCCGATCTGCAAATCATACTTTGCATTTTCTGCTGCTAAATATTTCCATCTGATGGGTACATCTGCCCAGCAGACACTGTGTATGGTTCCCCAACATAAGCTCTATAAAATCAGCTCAGACTGATGATTACAATGTTAAAAGCAGAAACAGACTGCAAGAAGAACCATTTAAACCCGAACCTGACGCATAATGAATGCTACAACTAATTCAGCGAGTATTCTATTTCAGAGCAGTAGTTAGTAAAATCTACCTTCATGGATTCATTCAGGACACAGCAGGAGATACAGTGCAGCATAGTTAAGAAATGAATTGAATTATCTACTCTATTATCTAATCCATGCGAACACAAAATTAACCACTTTACTAACACTCCACTCATAATAACTTCAATGATATCGCAATAAAAGTCCCATATAATTCTAATCTTTCAGGTAAATTAACTTAAGACTTTATTAAACACTATGTATTTATATTACTATTAATACTACTAATGATTTTTATAATTAGTAGTGGTAGGAGTAGTAGTATAAATACATAGTGTTTTGAAAAAAAAATAGCATTCAATTAAACTGAGATATAGACAATTATATTTTGCATGGCTTAATCTAGAGTGCCACATTGTTACATGTTCCATTTCAATTTCAATCACAATTTTAATTCTATGGAGAAAAATATTTATTATTTCTACAACTGTGTTTGCTGCATAACAAGTTAGTTAAACTGAAGTGACAGCAAAGATTGATGTTCCCAGAACCAAAGATTATGAGCATTTTCACATCACCGTAAAATATCCATCACATACAGTGAAACAGCCAAGCACATGTCTCTTGTTACAGCCATATATGGATATGTTATTTTACTTTCAGGCTCAACAAATGTGACCTAACAGAGAAAAGCTGTGAATATCTGGCCAAAGTTCTCAGTTCAAAAGATTCCAAACTGACTGAGTTGAACCTCAGTAACAATAACCTAGGGGATTCAGGAGTGAAGAAACTCTCAACTGCGCTGAAAAATATACACTGTAAACTGGAAACCCTGAGGTAATATCTTAATGTCTTCTGTCACAATAAAATGTTGTGTTTTGATTGCAAAACAATAAGAACAGTATGTCAATGAAATGTCAAAAAAATACTTAAAAGCTGTTCTTAGTAATGTTAATGATGTCATCCCCCTTATGCTTACTGGAAAATCATCAGCTGGGAATGTTTGCTATACAACTGATGTTTGGAAGATGTTTAATTATAAATCAAAAGGACAACTAAAATGGCTCCATATTGTTAATAGTTATAAAAGACCATTTGCCTGTCTAACATAACATAATGAGCCAGGATAAGGCTTAATCTAGAAAATGGTTTAGGCACATTATGTTTTGATTTCACATTATGATTTCAGTGAATTAAATGGATTGAAAATGAATGCTTTTTATTCTTAATACCTTTATGTTAACTGTGTATTAAGTAAATGATAATGCCAAACACTAAATGGATGTGTGTACTCTGTCCAGGCTTTCAGACTGTAGTGTAGGCGAGGAAGGATATGCTGCTCTGGCTTCAACTCTAAAATCAAATTACTTATCACTCCTGAAAGAGCTGGATCTCAGTGGGAATGATCCTGGAGATAAAGGAGTGGAGCTGATCAGTAACACATCTTCAGGAAATAAACCAAGGAAAATAAGGTAAAGATTAACTTCAGGCTTAAGGCTAAAATAGATTTTAGATTTAGTAAAATTACATACAATCATTTAAATAAAAATAAACACAATAATTTAAATAAAAATGAACTAAATGCATTCAGGTGAATGACTTATCAAGCTTTGTTACATAAAAACCATACAACAAATGATAGCATTCTACATTTTATCTAGAATTCATACATTCATACATGTTCTACATTATCTGAATGTCATGAGAAAAATTTCTCTCCCTCTGCAGGTTGTTGAAAAATCCTGCTGCAGATGCAGCCCATGACTCTCTTACTAAAGCTCTCAGAAAAGATCCCTTATTGCAGACTGACCTGGATCTGAGGAAGTACCAACCAAAGGATGTAGGAGTAAAGCAGATATGTGGAGTACTGGAGGATTCACACTGCAGACTGAAGACCCTTAAGTAAGTGTTTTAATGAGTAAATTCATAGTTTTAAAATACTGTTTTAAGTGTTAAAGTGCTTGACCTGTGTTATGCTTGTTTTTCAAGTGAAATAAGAGGTTAACCACTATATAAATTAAAACATTTGGAGGATTTATAGTCATATAATTTCCATTTTGTTTTACATCTTAAATGTGACTGATATTCTCTCTTCTTTACTCTCTCTACAGGCTGTATAAATCAGGCAGTATTACAGAGAGAGACTGTGCTGATCTGATTTCTGCTCTGATTGTAAACCCCTCACACCTGAGAGAGCTGGATCTGAATGAGAATAAACTAAATGAATCAGGAGTGCAAAAGCTCTGCATTCTACTGAAGAATGCTTGCTGTAAACTGGAGAAACTGAAGTGAGTAAAAACAATCAGCAAGTTGTCAAATTGCATTTGGAAATGTAATTGTAACTACATAATTGCATTTTCACAATTCCATTTGAATGTGAATAAAGTCTGGAATATGCTGCAATACATTATATTAAGTTTCTTCAATATATTGTTGCTGTCCAATGAAAAACAGGTATCTCCCCTTTTTGCGATTTTCACTTTTCTGCATCATTTGAGCTCAGCAGCTGTCCTTTACATTGTGTGAAGATTTGAAGATGATTGGACCAATACAAATGCTCCAAAGTTGCTTAGAATTAAATCTCTTTCCATTAACTTACATTGAAAGTAAAGATGTTTTTGCCGTCTCCTGTGAAGTTACTATTTTGGAGATACTTGTTTTTCTTTGGACAGTGACGATGTATTAAGTGTGCAATATTACTTTTTTAGTTGAACTGAAGTAACTTAATTTGAATTCTCTTTCTGTAGGCTAAATAAGAACAGTATTAAGGGCAAGGGCTGTGCTGATCTGGCATCAGCTCTTTCTTCAAACCTTTCACACCTAAGAGAGCTGGATCTGAGTGAGAATGAAATTCAGGATTCAGGAATGAAGGATTTTTGTGCTGTACTGAAGACTCAAAACTGTAAACTAGAAAAACTACTGTAAGTAACTTAACCATTGTGTAACGCAAAGAAAATTGAGCTTTAAATTGTCAAAGCATGTAAGGAAAACCTTAGTCTTCACTGAAACTACTGTCTAAATGTTGTCATGAATATCTTTTTTTTGTCCGTAGGCTAAAGAACTGCGGTATAAAAGAGGAAGGCTGTGCTGCTCTGGCTGCAGCTCTGAAATCAAACTCCTCACACCTGAAAGTGCTTGATCTGTGTGGAAACAAACCAGGGACATCAGTGAATGACCTTGCTGAAGTGCTGAAGGATTCAGGATGCAAGATACTGTAAGCATACGCAGACAGACAGAAAAAGGCTGTTTTTTTTCTATTTTTGACAGGGGGGTTAACTCAGGATTTAACCAACTTAATCATATTAACTTACTTGTGTAACATGCTCTGGGGTTTATGTTGTGGTTTAAATCAGCTGAAAATGTCAAGTGAGTTTTACCTACAAAGCATAATAAATGTATGTACTGTAGCCTAATTAGTCTATTTATTTGAACTCTATCCTTCAGCTAGTAGCCTAAAAGCAAAACTATTTTTTTTTTTGCATAAGACGTACTTCTCTGAATAATTCTAGTGTTATGTATGTAAATGTTATAAAATAAAATAACTAAACTGACTATGGGTGTTTACATCAGTTCAACCGTAAAGCTGTGTAGGTGCCACAAAAAAAAACACAGTGAGATGGTTGGTAAGTAATGCATATAATAATTGTTTTGTTCCTTTTTTCCTTTCAGATTGGATGCCTCTTTTAAGAACATGATTACAGAAGGTGTAAACACAGTATTTTCTTGGTTCGGCTTTGGTTCTGAAAATTCAGAAACAGCAAATGAAACCTTGACTGCAAACACTGGGAAGGAAACAAAAAGAGAAGGTGCAGGTGGCAAGCGATCAACCCCAAGTAAAATGGATGAGGCAAAACAACCACCATCATGGAGTGGAGGGGATGAGGCAAGACCGCCTTTAGTGTGGAGTGGAGGGGATGAGGCAAGACGGCCACCAGCGTGGAGTGGAGGAGATGAGGCAAGACGGCCACCAGTGTCGAGTGGCATGTATGAGTCAAGAGAGCCACCAGTGTCGAGTGGCAAGTATGAGTCAAGACAGCCACCAGTGTCAAGTGGAGCAGGTCTCGACTATCTAGCTGAAGTGCCTAAAGGAGCAGAGACTAAACCTAGACAAGCAGAGCAGACTTCAAAGAAGTGGGGTGACTATGGCAGAGGGGAGCAGGGCACTAAGAAAAGTTCAGAAACAGATCACACACAAGATCCACTCAAATCTACTCTGAAAAAATATAGGAAAAAGTAAATTGATATGTCAAATGAATAAACAACTTTACAGTATCAGAAATAAATCACAAATCATCATCACTTTCTTGTTATTACAGATTCCACACCAGCCCCCCAGGCAGGTGGTACAGTAGAATTTCCTGTGTTGCAACTTGGTGCACTAAGCTCCTCTTTATAAAATGTTTTTAAGGTTAAGGTTATTATACAGTAGTACTTGATCTCCTTTGAAGGGCACTCAGATAAACCTTTAAACTTACTGACATATTTTATTTGTTGCTGTGTTATATGATTGTTTTGAGGCATATTGTTGTTGTCAGAAATGGTAACTTTATTGGAGAAGCAGAAAGGTTTTAATTTCAGTTAAAGTTAGCATAGAGTAATTTTTGACCATTCCTATTGGTTCATTACTCAAGAAATGTTACACATTGTAGAGGGCAGTTTTAAAAATAGTGTGAAAAAGAGAGTAACTAAGTTTTGATATGGCAGCAAATTTATGTACCTTACTTTATTTGTCATTTTCCAGTAACACAGACTCTTCTATTTGGGCTTAAATAAAATATCTGTTTTAACTTCTCTTTGTCTGGAAGCATTTTTTTTCCACCAGTCTTGCTGAAAGTCTTGTTGAGTTAGTACAAATAAGCTGCTATGTAATACGTGAGCTTTAACATTCTGTCATCATTGGACTATAACATATTTCTCATTTACTTTAGCCTGTTCATGTACAAACTAAAGCATCTGAGAGTTTGATTACTGTAGCTTTAGCCATAGCAAAGAATCTTCAGTTATCACAGGACATTGTTAGGCAGTAACATTATTACAGACTAACATTAACACAGTTTCTCATTAGGCTGAATGAATAACTGACTCTAAATGTAGGTATTGTGATATAAACTGAGTCTGTTCTACAGTTTCTCATTAGGCTGAATGAATAACTGACTCTAAATGTAGGTATTGTGATATAAACTGAGTCTGTTCTACAGTTTCTCATTAGGCTGAATGAATAACTGACTCTAAATGTATGTATTGTGATATAAACTGAGTCTGTTTTTCAGTTTCTCATTAGGCTGAATGAATAACTGACTCTAAATGTAGGTATTGTGATATAAACTCAGTCTGCTCTACAGTTTCTCATTAGGTTGAAGGAATAGGTTGGCTCTAAATGCAGATCTGGTCACCAGGTAGAAACAGTTATATGCTGTTTCTGTTAGGTTTCTGGAACATGTTCAGAATCTGATGCTTGAAAAATGTAATAGCTCTGAAGCTACACTAGAGGGCACTACATGACACTTCAGGATTAAGAGAGCAGGTGGAGTGACGGAGGTATGCATGTTCCTGGCTAGAGGTCTTTTGTGTGTGTGTGTAGTGTAAGCAGTGCTGCAGTATTTGATGGTAATCTCTGAAGGGATTTATGAACTCATTCATTAAATCTGGTGTTTTAATAATGAGCATTTGACTTTCCATAACCTTCAGAAAAAAAAAAAAAACAGTGAACTGAACGTGACATTAGAAGATTTTCCATCCCACACACCTGTAATTCAATCAGAGACTGTTTCCATAATAATAACTCCTGAACACACTCCGCCACTGCATCGATTGTGCTTGTCAAGTATTCATAGATCATATCCAAAACAAAAGATTTTGACAGCAGAAATTACCCAAACAATAAAAGGATTTAAAGATACTGTTTTAAATAAAATGCAAAAGAGACAGTGAAGGGAAACAAATAGCCAGACATTTTCGTTTTGGGTATCCACTTAAAATGCACACAATGTCTTTCCTTTGACTTTGTGCTTATAAATATGGGAAAAATTAACACATAGCTGTAATACCATATACATGTTGTATGTTTATATATATATTCAATTATTGTTATTTCAAGCTGACCAAACGTTTGGGGTCCCAGTTCTGGACACAGAGATCCAGCGGATGGCTCAGTTTAGTGATGTTCATTTGTTGTGAATGAGGTGTGAGTGTAGAACCTTCGTTAGGCCTTTAAAAGGTTGTTCACACTCACTCTTTTTCAAACTTGGGGAACCAAATGTGGTTCTTCCTTGGTGTCATTCAAAAAGAACCCTTTATAACACCTTTTTTTTAAGAGTGTATATCGCTGGCTCACAACACCTGCATGACTTTTGATTCAAACAAGTCATATATGAGAGTAATTGGGGGGCGTGTCATTTGTAAATATGTAAATAAAAGGTTAGTGCACAGGTTTCTTGCACAGTGATATTCAGTTACACTGTCTGGTTGCTTACTGGTCCTCCTTCTCCACACACACACACACACACACACACAAAATCAATTCCGACTAATGATCTGGTCCTGATGGTGAGTGTAGATGCTATAACTGATCTTAATGAATAAAAGCCTGATGGCTCAGTAAATGTAAGCTGTTAATTATAGTTTTTGTGACATTAATCTGAAAACTTGAACTAAATCAGCTCATTTTTTAGTCTGTGTTCTGTTAGTGGTACTGATTGCTATAAAACATGGCCTGTGTGTGTGTGGGTGTGTGTGTGTGTGTGTATGTGTGTGTGTGTGTGTGTGTGGGTGGGTGTGTGTATGTGTGTATGTGTGTGTGTGTGTATCTGTTCTCTCTGCCACTTTCTGATTTATTGTTTCTGTATTTTATGCCATTAACAGCTGAAACCTGTTATTTCTCTGGCTTTGTAGCATCTACACACAGCCAAAAATGTGTGTGTGTGTGTGTGTGTGTGTGTGTGTGTGTATGTATTTTCATACACTTACAGGACAAAAAAATCTCCTGATTTTTGTCTGATGAACATACATAAACCTAGAAAAACAAACATGAAAAACAAGAAAAACAAGCCTTACCTACAAGATTCTAAAAAGTGCTGAGGTTAAGTTTAGGGAGGGATAGATGATACAAAGTCTTGTTACTTAGAGATAATTACACATATATAATGCATATGATACATATTATTATTATTATTATTATTATTATTATTGACTGCAGATACTTACACACACCATACACAATATATACGGGAACCTTACATTTTCATTTTTGTATTACAGAATTTGAAAATGGCAGTTGCCCTTTACGGTGTGTTGCAATGTTAGGATAAATGGACCAATAGAATGGTCTCAAACTTGCTTGACTTCCATTCAAAGTAAAATGTTTGTTTTTTTGTTTTTCTGCTGTAAAATTGCCATTTTGGACATACAATTTGGAAATATGAGGTTTTGTTCCCATAATACACACACACACAGACACACACGCACGCACACACACACACACACACACACACGCATACACACACACACACGCACACACACACACAAACACACATATATGTATATGTAACACCATTTCATAATCAATTTCCATACTGATATCTCCACAATGATGGGACATTCCAGCAGGATAATGAACTATGCCATCAGGCCCAAGTTGTCCAGAATTGGTTTGAGGAGCATTCTGGAGAGTTCTGACAAATGGTGTGGCCTGCAAATTTGCCCCAATCAAGTGTTTATGGGATGTGGTGGAGAGGATCATTCACACCAGAGATCCTGTACCCACAAGAAAGTAGTCATTGCAGGGTGAGGCTGCTTCCACTAAAGCAATAACAATAGCAACAATGATGAGCAGAGCGTGTCCAGCTCACTCAAGTATTAGAGCTTCAAGCAAAAACAGTCTCATCTCAGTTTCAGTGGTTTGTCAGCTGACGATGATCAGAGGAAAAACAAGTTTGTGTCATTAATAAAGGAACAAACTTTGTCATACAGAGGAAAAGAACCTCTGTGTCTGCATTTCAGCGCTGCTGTCTAACGTTACACTGAATGCAGTTTGTGCTTGAAAGTTGCTGCTGCAGCCGCTTTCAGAGGAACAGTTTTCATTTTCTCCCTCAAAAACGATCAGCTGAGAGAGCGAGAGCTCAGCGGGGAGCAGATGTTCGTTCACTGGAGCCGGTGGTTCCACCTTTAATAGTGCCTGAGCCGCCAGAATGTAACTGCTGCACCATTTAAGGTGGAACAGGAAAATTCGAACAAGGAGCTGACTTCAGCCTCGCGACTTTTTAGTGTTTGACAGTTTCTTGTTGCAGATTAAACGTGTCAGGAAACCAGCTGAGTGATTATAAATGCAAATAAGAAACCATCTACAGTGGCGCTGCAGACCCTGATGACCCACCATGCCCCCCTGCAGGGATGTTTAGCTTTTTGCTGCTTTAACTAGTTTATTGTTAGTGAGCTGTTTCAGCATCTCCAGCTAACATGGCTTTCACCTCCACATTGATTTATCACTCTGTAGTCATTAGCAGACGTTACTGTGCTCTGACAGCTGTGAAGAAAATTTTCCACAAATCATTCATCATATCCTTTATTTCGTCTGGACTCCCACATTATTGTGTGTCTGGTTCTTCAACAGTCTGGATTCATCCTCGAATTTAAGTCTATGACAAAGATGTGACTCACCTTTCTGTGGTGCTGAAGTGATATGAACACCTGTATTTCTGAGGTTAGTAGCTGTCCGTAAGGCAACAGTGGAACTTGTTTTACCCAGTGCTTCTGACACACTTCTGTTTCTTGTGAAAGGGGCCTATTAAAATGGAGTGTTACTGTACTGTTTATGAATATGTTATGAATGCTTTGTGTACATGTTGTTCCTGTAGAACATCACTAATTATTCTAGAATAATTTCCTAAAAAAGTAACTGTTGTTCTGAATATTCTTTTGAAATAAGTGTTGTTATTGTATTAGAGGACACTGGAGTCAGTGTAACACTGTAAAAGTGGGTCTGTGTGTGTAACAGAACATGACTGTCAGCTGAATGTTTCCGCTTGATTGGCTGATTTCGGTGCTCATATTCTCCCAGCATGTGGGGCATCAGGTCAGTGACCTTTGACCTTAGAATCAGCAGGTATATGAGCTAATGAACATCATCACCTGATTTGTCTCTCTCTCTCGCACACCCGCTCTAGAGAGCCGCTGGCCGGGTTTAATGAAGTGTGTGATGAGCTTATGATCCCACAGTGATTTGCTGAGGATTTTCCTGCA